CTCGACCCCCGTGAAGCCCGCGCGGCGGAGGAGGCGGTGCCACTCGGCGGCCGAGACGCAGGGGGACCACGGCCTGCCGGTCTCAGCGCCGAGCCACCAGCCCTCGAGCCCGCCCATGGTCAGCGACAGGCGCATCGTGTCGTTGGACGTCATCTCGAGGAGCACGAGGTAGCCGCCCGGCCGCAGCAGGCGGCGGGCGTTGCGCAGGGTCGCCTCGAGGTCGGCCGTGGCGTGCAGCACGAACGAGGCTATCACGACGTCGTACGCGTGGGCGGCGAACCCCTGCGTGGCGACGGGGTCCCGCCCGATGTCGAGGGTGCGGAAGCCCAGGAGGCCGGCGGCGACGTGGGGTGCGAAGACGGCCCCGGCGGCCTCGAAGAAGCCCGAGGACACGTCGGTGAAGGTGTAGTGGCCGAAGAGGCAGGGCTCCGAGTCCTGGCCTTTGGAGTTGAGGAGGATCCTCTTGGTGGCGCCGCCCGTCCCGGCGCCGACCTCGAGGACGTTGGCGCCCGGGTGGACGAGGGCGATCTGCGCGACGACGGCGGCGAGGACGTGCGAGTAGGCCCCGACGCCGAGCGTCTCCTCGTAGGACCGGCTCAGCATGCCGTCCTGGACCATGTGCTGCAGGATCACCGTCTCGCCGCGCACGGCGGCGGCCAGGTTCTCGCCCACGCTGCGCATCAGCTGCACGTCGATGGTGTGCATGTGCGCGTCCACCAGCGCCCTGATATCGTCTGGTGTGTCGACGTCGTGCGCCCACTCGGCCCTCGCGTATGGCCTCCTCCCCGCCGCCACCTCGCGGGCGGCGTGCCGCGCGAACGCCATCAGCTTCTGGTGGTGCCACTCGGCCCGGGACTCCTCGGCGGGCGTGATCTCGCGCGCCAGCCGGGCCAGGTAGAAGTGGGCGATGCGCTCCAGCAGCCAGCCCAGCTCCGTCTCGGCGTCCGTGGCGCGGCTCGGGGCGACTGCACGTGTGAGCCCGGACGTCATGGCGAGCGTGCAGTCCGGGAAGGCGACGCCCTGGACCGTCTCGAGGAACATCTGCACGTCCTCGCCTGGGGATGCCGTGGCCAGCGGCGCGAGGCGTACCCCCTCGGCCAGCACGAGCCCGAGGCTGTCGTCGTTGTCCTCGTCATCACTCTTCAGATAGAAGCCCACGTCGCCGCCGAGGCCCTCTTGCGGCCGGCCTGATACGCTCGGGTCCATGGTGATGTCGGCCTCGACGGTGTAGTGGTGATGTTGTTGTTGTTGTTGTTGTTGTTGTTGTTGTTGTTGTTGTTGTTGTTGCGTGGCCTCCAGCTTGAGGCTGGCGAGCCGGACCTGCTCGACGTCAATCTGGATCCTGTCGACGGCGACGGGCACATGCATCGACCAGATGCGCCCGTCGCCAGGCCACGCGTAGGCGAGGAAGACGGCCTGGAACAGTGCGTCCAGGGGCCCTGGGTGGAGGAGCAGTGATAATGGCACGGTCTTTCTGGAGCCGTGTTGATACTTGTTCAAGTTGTAGCCATGCATCTCGTCGTCGGCCCGTGCCGGCACCGCGAGCCTGGCTTGTGCGTATCCCAGTTTCCGCCTGGCTGATGACAGCGACCGGAACGCCCCGGTGTAGTGGTAGCCTAGCTGCTTCAGTTCTGAGTAGAAGTGGTCTTGGTCAACATCCATCAGCAGCGCTGGTGGTTCCCGCCCGAGGGGCGGAAGCAGCGGTTCGGCTTGGACCTTTTCTGTCACCTTCGTCTTGTCCTCCTCATCATCATCAGTCTCATCCATAAGGCTCATGACAATACGACCTTTGGCGTTTAGTGGCGCCTCCACCGAGTTGGCCCCCAGTACAGTCGAGCGGAACCGGAACTGAGCGTGCACAACATCATCACCACCCTCGCCGTTGGCATCATCATCAACACACAGCGTCGTAAAGACCTCGACGCCGCCCCCCGACGCAGACTCGTCCTCCTCCAGGATGATGGCCTTTCCGATCCACACGTCCCGGAGCTCAACCTTCTTGGCCCTCCTCCCCCTGCCCTCGGCGACATGCAGCGCCGCGTCGACGGCGGCCGCCACGTAGCCCGCCGCCGGGTAGACGACCTGCCCCTGCAGGCGGTGGCCGCGGAGCCACGGCAGGTCCGCCCCGCGCAGCAGGTTGTGCCACGCCAGGTCCGTGGCCGACGAGTCGGGCGACAGCGTGCCCAGCAGCGGGTGCGCCGGCCTGGGCCGCGTCCTCAGCGCCCGGGACCGCCGCGACTCGTGCCAGAACGTGCGGCTGTGGTCCCATGGGTAGGAGGGGAGGCCCCTGGGGGGGATGGGTCGGAGGAGTCCCTGGTTGTCTGGGTCGTAGACTCTGCGCTGAAACCGCCCCAGGTCTATTCCTCCTCCTTGCCTGTCTTCCTCGTCTGTCGCCGCTGCCGTGAGGCCACCATGCTGGGCCCATATTCGCCCAATGCCCTCCATCAGGCTCAGGCTGTCGTCCTGGTTCCTGCTTAGGACATCGGCGTAGGGGAGTTTCGTCAAGCCAGGACTGCTGTGGTTGTTATTAGCCGGGGATATCGCAGCTATGATCTCGTCAAGAGGTCCCTGCAGAGCACCGTGTGGCCCAACACCGACGGCCATGGAAAACGAGCGGCCTGGTGTTGCTGCTTTTGTCGCCGTCGTCATCTGTGCGCGGACGGCCGCCTCGACGGCATCCGCAAAGAGGACCGGCTGGCCCATGTTGCGAGCCCAGTAGTCCACGTCCACCGTCGTCATGACCTGGTTCCCGGAGCCAGGGCCAAAGACGGACGAGTACCAGGTCGGCCTTGTATTGTCAGCTGCTCCCCCTCCTCCTCCTCCTCCTCCTCTGACGCCAGCCCTCTTCAGGGCCTCGGTATAGGGGGCCAGGCACGGCTGCATGTGATGCGAGTGGTACGCCCGGTCCACGCGGAGCAGCCTCGCGAACCTGCCCGCGGCCGTGAGGGAGTCCCTGAGCTGGAGGATGGCTTCCTCATCCCCGGAGAGCGTCACGCTGGTCGGCGAGTTGTGCGCCGCCACCGTGACCCGGCCCCGGAATTGTGACGACGACGACAACAGCCGCCGCGCATCCTCGATACTCATCGCCACGGCCATCATCGCCCCCCTCGCCGCCCCTGCCCCGGCACCTTGGCCAGAGCTGTACATGCCGCGGTAGTACGCCACGGCCATGGCATCCCGCGCGGAGAGCAGCCCCGCCGCGTACGCCGCGCCGATCTCGCCCGAGCTGTGGCCCACGACGGCCGCGAACTGCACGCCCGCCGCGCGGAGGAGGTCGGCCTGCAGGATCTGCAGCGCCGTGCACGCCGGCTGCGCAAACTCGGCCATGTGCAGCCGCGACCCTCCAGCTGACCCCTCGGACCCCTCGGCGCGGCCCAGCTCCTCGCGCAGCGACCACGCCGGCCCGCCGCCCGGGAGCGCCGCCAGGAAGCCCTCGAGCTGGGCCAGCCGCCGCGCCGCGAGGGGCATGTCGGCGGGGACGTGCCGCGCCATGCCGGCCCACTGGGCGCCCTGGCCGGCGAACACGCCCAGGATGCGCGGGGCCTGGTCGTCCCTCTGCTGCTGGGCCTCGCCTCTCACCACGGCCGTGGGCTCCCACCCCGGGTTGTTGGTCACCGCGCGCCGGAGCTGCTGGCCGAGGTCGCCGAGGCCCCGGGCGGCGAAGACGGCGCGGCTGGGCAGGACTGAGCGGCGCGAGTTGAGGGTGAAGGCTACGTCGTGGGCGTCGAGTTCCCGGGCGCGGGCCTCGTCTGCGAGTAGCTCGCCGAAGTCGTTGAGCATCCGCCTGAGGGCGGCCTTGGTCTCTGCCGAGAACACGTAGGGCAGAGGGGGGCTGCGTGTTCCGCGAGCAGCCGTGGTAGTAGTAGACGTAGTAGACACGGCATGGTCGTAGCTCTCAACAATGGCGTGTGCGTTCGTGCCCCCAAAGCCAAACGAGTTCACGCTGGCACGCCTTGGCCCACCTCCCGTCGCCGGCCACGGGATCGCCTCACCAACCGGCACCTGCAGGCCGGCGTAGAACGGCCGGACGGCCGGGTTGAGCTCCTCGAGGAGCAGGTTGGGCGGGATGAGGCCCTCCTGCACCGCCAACGAGGCCTTGAGCAGCCCTGCGATACCAGCCGTGGCCTCTGTGTGGCCTATCACCGTCTTTATCGACCCGACATACAGCGGTCCCGCACTGCCGCCTTGGATATGTCGGCCCAGGGACTGATGGATGGCCTGGGCCTCGAGGGGGTCGCCGGTCGGGGTCCCGGTCCCGTGGCACTCAAAGAACTGTGGCCTGTCTGAGTCTAATGTCAGGTCCAGGCCTGCGCGCCGGTAAGTCTCCTGGATCAGGGCGACCTGTGCGTCCGGGTTGGGGACGGTGATGCCGCTCGTGGCTCCTCCGTCCTGGTTGACTCCGATCTCGCGTATCACACACTCTATCCTGTCGCCATCCGCAACCGCCCGGCTCAAGGTCTTGAGAACGACCGCCGCCACGCCATCCCCGCTGTCCGCAGCCTGTCAGCGATTGTCTTGTCCTGGGTGAGTCTTTCCAAGGGTCCCACTGGCAAGGCATATATATATCTACATATACATGTATATATGCACTGGCCGTTACACAGGCAAGTACTCACCGGCCATAGCCATCAGCCGATGCGTCCCACATGCGGCACCGCCCGGACGGCGAGAGCATATGGAACGCGCTCTCCACAATGTACGGCTCGGGCCCGAGGATCAGCTGCGCCCCCGCCGCCACCGCCACCCTGGACACGCCCGAGCGCAGCGCCTGGACGGCCTGGTTCACCGCGACGAGCGACGACGAGCAGGCCGTGTCTATCGTCATGCTGGGCCCGCGCCAGTCGAAGAAATAGGAGATGCGGTTGGACGCGATGGAGCGGGCTGTGCCCGTTGGGAAATACTTTGTCAAGTTAATAAGAGCCCATGTACGCAGGTAGACCCTCCTGACCTTGAAATGGAAATGTTGCCACCCCCCCCCTCCCCGATTCTATATCACAAAATCACACAAAGACAGGCAGTAGGAGTAGGACAAGAACTCTACGTACCCTTGGTATGGTGTTCAGCTCCCGGTAGTGAATGTCACTATACTCCTCGCACACCAGCCCCACGTAAACAGCAGTATCAGACCCCCGAAGCCGCTGGATGCCGTGGCCCCCCGCCTCGAGCGCCTCGTACACACACTCCATCAGCAGGCGCTGCTGGGGGTCTATGGCGGCGGCCTCCCCCGCCGCGACGTTGAAGAAGCCCGCGTCCCAGGCCGTGTGGTCCGCCGACAGCAGGTATGAGTCCCGCACGTTGCTGTGGCCCCCGTGCTCGCCGTCCTCGTGGTAGAAGCCATCGGAGGAGAAGCGCCCCGGCGGGATGGCCGCCAGCACGTCGCGGGGCTCCGACAGGAGCGCCCAGAGCTTGGCCGGCGTCGTGGCGTCCCCCGGGAAGCGGCACCCCGAGCCGACGATGGCGATCGGCTCGTTCTCGGGGGGTTTTGGGCAGCTGGGGGTGGGCATGGCTTGTTACTGGGTATGAGGAGGACACTAGAACAGGCTGGATTCGAAATAATGGTGTACAGTGACGGACAGTTGTGCAGATGTGAGTTCGTGTGTGTGCAAATGTGCCACCTTCACTACTAGCATTCATTCGCCTCCAAGTGTGGTCATGAAGGAATCCCAGTGTATTGTGGTAAACACACAGGGCGCAAAGCTGGTGCCTGTAACTTAGAAGCTTCTGAAGAGAATTCTATTCGTTCAACTTTACCTGCTCAAGTGTGGGCGGTGTGTGCGGATGTAGCCGGAATAGAAGCGAAACTTTCCAGATATAGAAAGAATCCTGTATCATTTCCAAGTGCGCAGCCATGTCCGGGGTCGATCATGGTTCCACCTACTAGTAAGTGCTCTTTTGCACTAGCATTTAGATAACTCTATTTTATTATTCCTGACGTTTGACTTCCTCCTAGCTTCCACTAGGAATCGGGTCCTGGTCCCTGGAACAAGCCCGTCAAGCTTTCAAGTAAATCCTGGGCATTTCATCCGCGATCGTTGCATGTGGAAGTATTACCTAAAAAAGTTATCAATTCACACGGCCATACGGGCGCAAGGAAGCCAAGTTAGGGCCGTTGTGGTTGCTAAATGACCAAATATCTCTGGGGACATGAGCGTTGAGGCACATCACTTCAGATTGAAATTGTGACCAAGACCTAAAACTCCTGTACCGTTATTTTGAGAAAGCTGCCTGAAGCATGGCAAACATTGCAACGCTTGACTTTGCCAAATTCACCCACGGCACTGCAACGGAAAGACAACACACCGGCAAGGCATTGGCTGATTCCCTGATCGATCATGGCTTCGTGAAGCTCGTAAACCACGGTCTTGCGGATGAAACCATCGCCGACTTGATCGAGCTCGTAAGTCACATTCAAAAGTCGGACTTATTCATGCTCTCGTCCTATACGCACGCGACGTTCTAAAAATCTGTTGCTGAGGCAGTCACGGAGGTTTTTCGCACTGCCATTATCAGTGAGGCAAAAGATTGCCTGTGTTCGTAGCCCAAACCCTCAACGCGGTTGGAGTTGCGTGGGCTCTGAGCAGACATCCAAGCTACGACGTGAAAACATTGCCGGCCATGACGATCTCAGTAAGCTGCTAGATGCTCGAGTAAGCTGGTCACCTAGGCATTGGCGGACTTCATGATCATGGCAGGGAGGCTGACCACGGTTTCGCACACAGGAACATTTCGACGCCGGACCGCTCGACGATGAACAATTCCCAAACCTATGGCCCGACGAGAGCGACCTACCCGGATTCCGGCAGTCCATATGCAGCCACTACAAGTCCTGCCAGAGAATATCACTCGAGATCATGGCGGCCATCGAGGTCGGCCTGGGGCTCCCGCCGGGCGTGCTGGTCGACCGCTGCCGCCCCGACGCCAGCGAGATCCGCCTGAACCGGTACCCGCCCATCCCCAGAGCCCACCTGGCCTCCGGCCTCGTGAGGCGCACCTGGCCGCACACCGACTTCGGCATCATCACCCTGCTCTTCCAGGACCACGTCGGCGGCCTCGAGCTCGAGGACAGGACCAGCCCGGGCACGTTCGTGCCCATCGCCCCCGTCCGGCCCGGGCAGCCCGCCGAGATGATCGTCAACGCCAGCGACACGTTCGAGCGCTGGACCAACAGCGTCGTCAGGCCGGGCCTGCACCAGGTCGCCCCGCCGCCGCCCGCGGCTGGGGACGAGATCGTGCTGCCGGAGCGGTACTCGTGTGTGTTTTTCGCAAAGGCCGGCCGCGAGACGTCTGCTGGTCCTCTGCCGCACTTTGTCTCGGAGGAGAACCCTGCGCGCTATGACGAGATCACGGCCTTGCAGTTTCAGCAACGCAGGACTCAGTTGCTTTATTAGAGAGGTTCTTCATGTTCTTTCCAGTTCATCGTCAGACCGCTAGATAAGAAGTTACGAAGAATTCAAAAGCCTCGATGCCTAGTAGTTATTATATGCCTCGCCTACAATTCCACCTTGAACAAAGAGAAAGATTTCTTTCTATGCCAACTTAACGTGACGCCTTCGTATCACTTCTGAGTCACTCCTTGTAATTTTTGGCGCTCACACCCAAGTGTAAACTACAGGTCTAAACAGCCTGCTCAAGCTTCATCGCTTCTTGACGATGAGGCAATTGCCATCACCTCGTCACGGTGGGCGTTTGCTTTCTAACACGTCTATGGGTGTCCATGGGGGACTAGGGGTTACGTCCGTGTCCCAACCTAACCTTGGAACTAGGTAACTTACATGTGTACCCGGTTTCGCTTCTGTTCCCTACACATCCGCAAACAAGGTAACTTACCTTGGTAACCAACCCGAAAACCCGTTTCGACGCATCAGCACACCGCCTTGAAATCCACATGAATACACGTCATTCTTACACACTCTTTGCAACTTTGGACCAACCGGGGCATTTTTTCCCGCGAGTTGCTCTATACACATGTTACCTACCTGGGTACCCAGGTAGGTTTCTGGGAAGAAGGATTGCCCGAACTCTCGGAGAGTTCGGCCTTGTGGTTCATGGCATAGTGGCACCTCGCTTGCAGAGTAGTAGTGTGAGCAAAGCTTAAAAAGGTTCCCTTCTTAGCCCTACAACTAGACGAACGCCATGCAAGTTGAGACCGGGGCCCGGAAGGCTTTTCAAACTGCACCTTTAAACTTTCCGTGGAAACGGCATAGGCGCATATTTACGTGTAAACAGGCCACAATTTGCACACCGTCAATCGATAATTCGTGTTGGTCTTGGGCGATGTCACCTGGCTAGTTGCTGTATGCTCGGAACAGTTGTTTACAAGGATGTCACGATAGCTTCCTAAGAGTATTAAGCTTTCATCTTCCTGGGGCCAAGGTTTCATCGGCCCTTGCCGTGATGTGTAGCGATCCCTCCCACATGAGTCATTATATGCTAACAATATGACTTCTTGTGTGTAGATCTGCTTTACTTCACCTATTAGTAATTACTAGTATAATAAGTGTTAAAAACACCTCCTACTTTTTCTTATAATATATACTTATTTTCTATATATATTTCACTTAATTATTATTAGTTCTAATATTAATATTACTTTATTATTATTTAATACTTTATATTTTTTAATTTAAAATAATATTATATATTATTAATTTTATTAATATATATTTTTATTTTATAATATAAAAGTTATGATTTATAAAGATTTTTTATTTATATATACTTTCTATAAACAACGGTCTCTATTAAACTTATAGTAACCTAAATATAAGATAGATAAATATTATCTTACCTTTTAACTATGTTAAGTTATGTGGCTAAGAAAGATTATAGTTGTATCTTGATTCTTAAGTGTCCTTTCGGTACTTAGTATGTAGTCTTGTCTGCCTTGGAACTTGATTCCAGCAACATTTGGTTTACGCCTCACTAGCTGGGTACTCAATTTGATTTCAACTAGTGTACTTAAACTTCCCAGAGAGAACTAAATTTACTTCGGTCAATTGGAACTAATCGTTAAAGTTCTGTGAGTACATTGAAACAGGCTAATGTTGCCTAGATCTTTACAGAAATCTTAAAAATTGTTTTGGCCCACTTACCATGTGACAGTGACGTTTCGTAGATTTGTAAAGTATCTCAGCTCATGATGCCTTGTTGTGCTCCGTCCGATTGGGACGCCATTATCGAGAGCATTGAGTAAAATGATTACAAACTTAGTGTGGTATAAGGGCTAGAGGCAGGCGTCAGTGGGTATTCAATTTGTGACGATGTGATGACAAGCACTTGAGGTCGAAACCAGCAAGATCACGTAACAGCACCCTCTCTCAATAATTCCATCCCGCTCATTCACTACGCGATGGCTCCAGCGTCTCTTGTGGAGAGCCTTGATCACGTCTTGGCAGACAAGGAAGCTCTCAGCGAGTTGCGTCAAGACGACATAGTCCGTCGTCGTCTTTGTGATGCGGCAACCCGATTAAGCCTGGCCATGGAAAGCCAGGGTGATAGCATTAATAGAATCAGAGAGACGGTATGTTCTCAAGATGCAAACTCCAGAAGCAATTTCTAAAGATGTGCGCTGACTCATTCTTCCTGCGGTAGCCTTTGCAGCTCGCTCTAGCCAAGGTAGGGGTTGACAAGGGTGTTTTTGAACGACTTGCAGAGGCCAAACGCCAGGGCAAGGTGCTCACCAATGCCGAGTTGGCTCTCAATACTGGTATCGATCCAGTCTTGTTGAAGCGGATACTCCGGTATTGGGAGTCTTTGGGGACAATTTCGCAGCCGGGTGAGGACGAATACACGGCCAACAACGTCACCGAAGCCCTCGCCTCGGTTCAGGGACGCACCGCTATCGTTCACAAGTGAGCCTATTACATGATGTCTTTTTTCTTTTTTGTCCGCAGCATTCTTTCAAGGCAAAAGCTAATTCACTTGCACAAAAAGCTTTGACACCATGGTGCCAGTGTTCATGGTTCTACCAGAGTATCTGGGTAAGCATGGCTACAAGCCCATCAAAGATATTATGGACACACCCTTCCAACTCGGCCACAAGACCAAACTGGATCCCTGGGCGTGGGGTCAGGAGAAACCCGAACGGTACCAGAACTTCCTGGCGTGGATGACGCACGCGCGCGAGGGGGACCCCATGTTCCTCGACGCCGTTGACCTCGGTGAGTATTTCCGGGGAAGCAAGCCGGATACTGTGCTGTTCGTCGACGTCAGCGGGTCGCGAGGACTCATGGCCATTGAGGTGCGCAAGAAGTACGCACAGGTTCCTGGCCGGGTAATCCTCCAAGACCAGGATTACACCATCGCGACTGCGAAAAATGATCCTGATCCCGGATTTGATACAATCGAGACCGCGATACACGACTTCTTTGCCGGCCCGAATCCTATCAAGGGTAAGCCAAGTATTTTCAACCAATGTCCCCGTCCAAATCCCTGACTTGAAGAAATTGTTCGTTTGGATCATAAATACCGAGGCTAAAACATTTCAAGGGGCTCGTGTTTACTACCTCCGCAATATTCTTCACGATTGGTCGGATGCGAAGTGTCTAGAGATATTGGCCAGCGTGAAGCCGGCTATGTCCGCAGAGTCGGTCCTTCTGATTGACGAGATTGTCTTGCCGGAGAAAGGGGCACCGTGGCGCGCTGCTCAGTTGGACATTGAGATGTTGGTACACTTGGCCGGCGCCGAGAGGACGGAGAAGGAGTGGCGCAACTTACTTGGTGCTGCCGGGTTCAAGGTCAAGAGTATACGCAAGTACTCCCTAGATCGTGGCGAAGGTGTGATTGAGGCCACGCTCAATTAGATACTTCATTAGTGAATCAAACTTGCAAAGATATGCATTCTGTTGGTTGGACTTCCATACGTGGATACAATATTCCACTTGACCAAGATACGACGGTCGAACAGACGAGGATCACGTATGCATTGGGCATTTGGATGTCGTGGTTCATGTCATATCCTTGTATTGGCGGGTTATTACCAAATGCAACAGTGAACATAAATTCGTGCACCCGGGGAGGATTGGGCATGTTTTGTCAGACTTTTAGCTATAACATCATTGGTTTCTTTGGGTGCGAATATCCGTTCTCTAGAAGGGTATGAGCGCATTTCTCAACCCTGTGCTTTGCTCGTGAATCCTACCAAAGAGCTCTGAGTCTAACCGACGATCGTTTTGGATGCCGAAAAATGCCTTCTTCTGCCACCCAATCGTCACCCCTGGTCGAGACAGGAAGAAATTCAAAGCTCAAAACAAGCAACACAGTAAACACACGAAGATCCTGCATGCCGAGTCGCTTCCCTATTTTCAGTCAAATCGTTAGACCGCTGGCATCCATGCCACAACCTGAAAAATTGGTTGTTTCCTGGCCAACACTTACCAAAACAGCCTCTGACTCCGTGGCTAAATACCAAAGTCGGCAATGCTTCAGCATCAAATACATCTGTGCCGTCTTCTCCGGGATAGAGCCACCGCCGAGGGTTGAAATGTTCTAGGTGATCCCCACTCGGGCCTTCGATTCCTCCTCGCGGCCGTTTCTTCTGTGCTTCCTGGCTTGTGAGGCTTCGCAGGTTCTCTTCTACGGGAGGCGGCTTCTTCAGAACTCTGGTGTTGAGCACGAGCTCCGTCCCTGCTGGCACGTCGCGTCCGAGAATGCGTGTGTCAGTCGTCACGCGACGGACGACTGAGCCCGCAGTTACCGCAGAGCGTAACGTTTCATGTAGAAACGCATCGAGGTAAGGGACATTGCATGTAGAAATTTCATGTGCAGACGGGAGATGTCGACCGGTCGAGTTGGGAGTGTCAAAGTAGGCGGATTTCAAGGCTTCACGCAACTCATGTTGTACATCCGGATATCTGGAGAGAAACTTGACGCACCAGGCAAGAGTGAAAGCTGTCGAGTCGATGCCCTTGGAGAGAAATTATTAGCTTGTGATTTTGAAGTTGTGACGCAGATGCAATGCCTCGAGTACAACCTGAAATTCTGAAAGACCACAGGAGGGGAATTAGTCGAGTCTTACTGCGATCATGAAGAGCATCAACTCTTGCTCTATGTTTGTAGCTTGCACCAAATCCCCCTTCTCAGGCTTGGCGGCCAGTACCTCCCGCCTTAGCACCAAATCCATGGCGCACGTCTCTTCGGCATTCCAGCCCGACCCCTGGCTTTGGTCCAATCGCTGGAACCTTTCCCGCGCCTTGAAAACAATATTTTGCATCTCACGATTCATGCTGCTCTTCACGCGGTGATACCTTGGCGTGAGCTTGATCAATTTGAGGCGCCAGGCAGCCGAACCAGACCTTACGTAGGAGCTCTCCTCCTCAAGAAGGTCCGTAACCTTGAAGAACATCTCACGGGAGGATTCTTCAGCTTTGCCAAGTTTCCCGCGGACATTATCAATCACTGCTCCATCGATACCGACACGGTCGAACCCGGGCTGTGATTTCAAGTCCCGTGCGGTGACTTGCAACTTATTCGTCAGGACGCACAAGTCACTGCCAAGAACAACTGCCCACATAAGGTCCATCGTCGCATCTAGAAAGTCAGGCTGGGCCTCAAATGCATTACCCGCGAGCGCCCTGAGCCGCCATAAGTCCACCAGTTGACCTGCGGCGCGACAGGCATGGGGCACAGCGACCCTGGTCAGGAAATCGGATGTGATGGAATCGGACCAGAGCTTCTTCTGCGCTTTCAACTCGGGCGTGGTGAACTGCGAGATGCTGGCCTTGGGCAGCAGGGGCTCAAAGAAAGCCGCCGTCATGGACGAGCGGTCGAACTCCCTGCCCCGCCGCCGCAGAATGTCCTCTACCTCGCGAGGGTCGTCGATCATGATGATCGGCTGGGGAATAAAGGACGGTGTGAGGAGCTGAGCGATGGGCGACTGCGTCGGCTCGCGGTTTACGACCTCGAACACGGCCTCACTCTGGGTGCAGCCAGCCTTAGACGCGTACGCCGCGACGGCTGGCATGTCGCCAAACATAACCTTCACATGTCGCCGGTTATGCGGAACCCCTGGGAGAACTCGGGGGTAGAGTTTGGAGACAACGAGCCGGTAGGTGATCCATAAGGCAAGAAGAATTATCGCGGCCAGGCCCGTGTTCGAGTGCCAAAGTTGCATTTTGGTAATAGCCGGCAAGTTTACAAAGGTAGACCGTGGCAAATGTTCAAGTTGTTAGTCGGGACTTCAACGTGATGGCTACCCTATGGTGACCTTGCTTTGTTCAGCGGAACTCTTGGGATAACCAACCATGCCAGGTGGGCTTCGCAGTCCAGCTGACTCGTGAGGTTACGCCAATGAACTCTGCTCGTAGGTGGCTTCGCTTTGTTTCACCGACTACTGGCGGCTTCCAGCTTCGAAGACGCGGTCGAGGATGCGGCCGCGGACGACTCCTTCCGCCCGAGCTCGCGTTCCGCGAGACGAGCGTCCTGCGTACCTGGATAGCTAGTGCAGGGGTCAGGTCATTGATAGGGGGTCCATTAAGTTTGCTTTCGGTTTGCATTTAGATTTAGGGCCTTGTTGCAAGTGGTTGAACCGAACATGGAAGCGTATCCACGCACGGCATAGTCCGTCTGGCGGAACACCGGGATGCCATGAGTTCATCCGTACAACACGTCATAGTATGAGCATGCAACACTGAAGGTTTGAAGACAACCTTGGAATCCTAGGAGGTGTGTCTGACTGTGCCAGCGTGGTTCGTCCTGCCCACCTAGTAATACCGAGGCGGATACGAAAAGTCTCTCCAAAAATGACCCTTGCAATTTAAGGTTTTTGCCGTTCAACCTTTTTCAATGATCCAAAGGATTTCTAAAGCGATATTATCCTAGGTACTAATTAGAATTTCTATATATTTTAATTACTAATAATAATAGGTAAGACCTAAAATTATAATTATATATTTATTAAGATTTATTTTATATATATAAAATATATAAAACTATATTATATTATTTTTATATAAGTAAAAATAAATAAATATAATATTAAAATATTTTTAAATAAAACTTTTAAAATTATAATTATAAATAATAAAACTATTTATAAATAATTTAATTATTATATATTATTATAATATATGTATCTAGTTATTAAAAAAATAAAAAATAAAGTTATAAGACTAATACTACTTATATATTACTTTTAGATTATAATTCAAACTGTCCCCTTTTTAAATACTAAAACATAAAAACGCGAATCGCCACATGCGCTTGTGAACTGAAGCACATGCGCAGCTTTCCGTCACCGCAAGCATGTCCACGCCGAACAACGCCGCCTACCTTGTGGCCACGGCCGCCCCTCTCCAGGTCAAGCCAGCCCCCTACCCTGTGCCCGCCCCTGACCAGGTGGTTGTCAAGACCAAGGCCCTCGCCATAAATCCTATCGACCATTTCGTCCAGAAACTAGGCCCGGACGTTTTCAAATTCATAGAACTGCCCGCAATTCTTGGTTATGATGTGGCTGGGGAGGTACTTGAAGTTGGGTCCGGCGTGACAAGGTTTAGGCCCGGCGACCGTGTTGCTGGCCTTGCAGAGGCCGCCTTTCAACAATACGTCCCTTTGGCTGAACACTTGACGACCGCCGTGCCTGAATGCATTACGTGGGAGCAGGCGGCCACGCTACCCATGGCGGTCTCGGTCGCGACCAAAGCATTATTTGACCATGACCTTCTTGGAATGACCGTACCGAGCCTCGGGTCAGATTCCTCTCAAACGAAACAAGAGACGGTTCTCATCTGGGGCGGCTCCACGAGCGTGGGCAGCTGTGCAATTCAGCTTGCCTCGGCAGCGGGGTATGAGGTTGTTACCACATCATCACCACGCAACTTCGAATATGTCAAAGGTCTCGGTGCAAGTCAGGCTTTCGACTACAGCAGCCCCACGGTCAGAAAAGACCTTCTAGGCGCATTCCAGGGGAAACATGTAGCCGGGGCTCTTGCCAACGGCGGCATGGATCGCGAGACCTATCCGCCGATTGTCGACACATGTGCCAAGGTTTTGCAGAGCTGTCATGGAAAGAAGATGGTGGCTATGACAATGGCGCCGCACTGGGGCCCAAACCATGACGGCGTGCAGTGTAGATCCGTTGGGCCGCTAAGGGGTTCTCAACAGCTGGCTGCGTCGATATTTCATAAATTCCTGCCGGAGGGTCTCTCTAATGGGCATTTCAAACCGAAGCCGGAACCTGCTGTTGTCGGCCATGGCCTTGAGGCTGTGCAGGGGGCAATGGATGTTCTCAGAGCCGGTGTATCAGCGAAGAAGATTGTTGTCACTGTGTAGCCAGAAGTGAATCCGAATGAACATTCAAGATGTCTGTCATCATGAATGTGTGTTGATAAAATTGAAGATATTCTGCTTCCGAAATCCTTGTAATAGGCTACTTAGCGAGACGAAGAAGTTAAGACTTAAAAATAACTATTAATGTATTAATTATTATATCTATAAGCACCTAGATTATTATCATTTGGTGTCGTCATTTCGTTATTTCCTCTTATTCATTGAATATAACTTTTATTAATATATACTTATAAAATATACTTTCTCTTTAATTGTATTCTAGTTAGACTTAAACAGTATCTTAAGCATTCTAAATGTAATAGTAAAACTTTACTTTTAGTGTTAAAATTAAACTTTTCTGGAATGGTTTATTCTTCACTTCTCACTGTTGCCTTATATCCACCGCTGAGTAGCATGAAGATAATATCTCTCCACACGCAGAACGACTGTAAAAAAAAGAAATCACGAACACCTACATCTACGTATCATCCACGGACGTCGGTAATTTCCGAAAGGATGGAATCTGCAAGCTATATCAGCAGCAACGAAAATGCCGCCTTTACTCATATTCCAGCACAGCTTCCATTCGTGGATGATATGTTCCATGAATCCGTGGCAAAGTGGCCTGACAACATAGCACTTGTTTGCGCCCACCAAGACCCAGATCTCTACGATATCCCAAGCGTTGCTACACCAAGTCTTCAAGGGGTCGACGGAACTCGACCTGAGGAGAATCGTCGGTACCTGCGATGGACGTTCGAAAATCTCAAGTCCGGTGTCGACAGACTCAAGGTCGGATTGACATCTCTAGGTGTTCGGCGCGGCATGGCTGTCGTGACGTTCATGCCGAACTGTGCCGAGTATGTCCTGACGTGGTGGGCGACACGCGGAATGGGCCTGGTGATGGCGCCCATAAATCCGCGTAATCTGTCCAATAAAGAGGAGGTCGCGCACATGATTGCTACGATTATGAAGGGAACCGGAGAACAACCACCCATTTTGGTGGCATTTGAGTCTGAGCATCTCGAATCGGAACCACTCAAGAATGTTCAGGCCTTCGCCAAAATCGTTGTCTCGTCTCCGTCATCGCAGTCGCCGACTGAGAATGTGTTATTTGGGGACCTCATGTCGAGTGGAGACAAGAATGGTAATGCCACTCAAATTGGCTGCCAACACAATCAGCAGCCCACGGACGACGAGATCCTCTTCACCAGCGGCACAAGCTCGCGGCCTAAAGGGGTCAAGATCGAGCATCCCATTCTGTCATTGGGCATGTACAATTTTGCGAACACGCCCGGCTGTGAGCCCCGACCCGGCGACTTGTGGTTGGCTCTGACGCCCAACAACCATGGCATGGGGCGCGGAACGCTCACGTCGTCCATGTGCTTCGGCGGCGGGACTGTATATCCCAGCTACTACTTCGACGCGCAAGACGCTGCGGACGCGCTGCTGAGGGAGCGCTGCACACATGCGGCACTGGTGCCGACCTTGGTCAGGCTACTGGCCGATTCCGTAGGCTTGCGGCTCCGGACGGCCGCAACAGACAGAAGTCTCCTGAGGACCATTTTCCTCAGCGGCGCACCACCTACTCGAGCTGATATGCAGGAATGTGTCGACATCCTCGGCATCCAATCGATTTCATCCGTGTATGGGATGACTGAGGGGGCCGAAGCGAGTTCTCCCGCGTGTAGTGACTGGATGAAGCTGTTCAACGAGGAAGGGATGCTCTCGGTGGGAATCCCGCGCAGCCGCGGGGCGGCAATCAAGATTTGTGCGCCGGATGCTACGGGGCCTGATCGACCACCTCTGCCCCTCGGGACTCCGGGTGAGATTCACTACCACGGGCCTGAACGCCATCCTCGGTCGGCCATTTACATTGGAAAACCAGATGCAGACAACTCCACCTATACTGATGGACAAGGAAGGCGGTGGTTTGTCACAGGCGATCGGGGCGTCGTCGTCGTCGCTGACGGGAAGCAACTGTATATCATGGGTCGCTGCAAAGACATGATTGTTCGCGGCGGGGAAAACATTGCTCCTGCCGCGATCGAATCCTGTCTGGCTGATAATCCGGCGCTTGGGTCCCTGTCGATCCAGATTGTCGGGACCCCAGACGCGATCGCTGGAGAAGTCCCCGTCGCCGTTGTGGCAACAAGATCAGAGAACCTGAGGGATGTGGCAGACGAAATCCATCACACAATACTCCAGAAGATGGGCCCAATTTTCCTTCCCAGCCAGGTCATCCCGCTGGCAGCACTTGGCATCACCGAGTGGCCTCGAACATTGACAGGAAAGATTCGCAAAGCCGAGGTCGCGGACCTTGTCAACAAATTGATCAGAAGCAGCGACAAAGACGTCGATGAAGGCAGGACGCCACCGAAGAGCGGCCATGTGGCAAATGAGGTACTTGGGATTTGGGCTCGGTCGATTGGTCTCACGGAGACCAGCCTGACCACACATCAACCCCTCTCTGAGTTTGCCGACAGTCTCACGATTGCGCGAGTAATACGCAGGATCAAACGAAACATACCCGGTTGTGGCAGCCTGTCTGCTCAACAGTTGGCACAGTGCGAAACCATTCAGGCTCAAATCGACCTTGCTGTGAGAGAAGCAAGAGAGCAAGGAGATGCTCATAATGGCAAAGGTGCCAAAACCAGTCGCGTGTACCCATCAGATCAGCTCGGCCCTCCCGGTATCGAGGACATGGTAAGTCCGCTGTTCCTGCTTCTACGTCCTCATACAAACAATACGGCATATAAATGCGTTCTGAGGCCCCGTGGCACGTTATACAACAGGGAAAACGAAGTATTTCAACTAATAGAGTATACAGGTCCACCTCACCGAGCAGCCGAACTTGTTCGACCGGACCAAGAAACTAGTACTCAATACTATCAGCCAGCACGAGTTTGGTTGGGACGACGTGGAGGATATTTTCCCAGCGCAAGCTTGTGTCAGCGAGCTTGCCAGAAGTGGTGTGATTGATAGCGCCCGTTTTCACTTCGTCGATCTAATGACGGCGGAAAGTGATGTCGAGGTACGTACGATACGTCTTGTCAGACTCCATCGACACGTGTGTCAAAGACCCCCGGGCTGGAATACCATGGTCGCGTCTGGGGGCACGCATTTGTTGACCTTTTTAATCTCTCCTAGCGGGTAAAACAAGCAGTACAGACTATGCTGTGTAATAATCGCATCCTGGCTTCCTTTGTCGTTTGGGATCAGGAAGGTCAATCTGACCTCGAGCGAGAACTAGCACTCCACGTCACGCTTCGGCACGGTGAGAAGTTATTCGACCGCGTGATTCAGGTGGCAGGGGCAGTGAAGACAGTTGAAGATCTCCAACAGCTCGCAATAAATTGTCCGGAACCGGATCGAGCCCTCCTTCCAGGTATCAACTTCCGGGCGCTCATCTACACTGTCGAGGAGACATCGACTGTGGGATTGCTCTACATAGGTACGTCCTCATGCACTCAAGCTTAAGCTCTGTACTGCATGAGAGCCACCCTTCATCTACAGACCTTATTCTGACCGTGTCGAAGTCAGCCATGCTGTTCTAGATGCGAGTAGCATATGGATGTTCCAGGAGGATCTAGAGTGTATATTGTCCGCCCAGCAAGTACCACCGCACGTCAACTATAAGGTCTGGGCCGACATGTACTACTCGTTCCGCAGCTCTCCCCAGGCCCGTAGTGCCGTTGATTGGCACGCAAAATACCTGAGCGGCATCGGGAACCACCTAGACAGAGCACCGTGGCCGCCGATACCGCATCGTGGACCTCTAGATCCTACGGGGAGAAACTATCCAGCTGGCATCCAGTACTCGTTCCAAGCTCCGAACCTCGGTGCGCTGAGGAGACAATACCCGGGTTTGTCCGCGCCGGTGATCCTCAAGAGCGCCTTGGCGTTGCTCAACGTGTGGCACACGGGACACACACATGCCATATTCTCGAGCTGTGAGGATGGACGCACCAAATGGCCGTTCATGCCTGCGTTTCGCAGGACACAGAACGATGGACCCCCTGATGGTGGCTTGTTCAACGATGCTCAAGACGTCGCCGGGCCAACTATCCAGTTCGTGACTAACCTTGTAGAAGTCAGACCCTCCGAGACGGTCGTTGATTTCCTCCACCGGATGCAGGACGACCAGGTGAACTTGACAAGACACGCGCACGCGCCGTGGCCAGAAGTCGAGCAGGCTGCCGGCATGGAGCGCGGCACCATCAGGCGTATCTTCACCACGATGAAGTTCAACTGGGTGCCAGGTTTCGGCGCCCAGGCGCAGACGGAAAAGTCCAAGGAGCCCTTCCAGAATTTCAAGATCCTCGCTGCCGTGGCGCGGTGGCGGATTGGCGCTCTTTGCAGGCTCGGCCTGGGGGGCTCGCAGAATGATACCGTGGTCATGCATCTGATGGGGGATGCCCTGAGTGGGGAGCAGAAAGTGCATCTGGCCAAGAGGTAAGCAGCCAGTGGGACCAGGCATGTCTCTGGCCATTTTGATCCAGGGACTTGCTTGATACTTCGAATTTTTGTAATGCTGACATGGCTCTGCATCAAGTCTTGAAAAGATGACGAAGTGGCTGACAAAGCCCGAGCACTTCGAGGCACCTGTGGGAGGCTTCCGAGACGCAATGAGAGATGCTGCCAACGAGCCTAGAGATGGAGAGTTGGCAGAGAGAATTATTGGCAACCAAGGATTGTCATGTCTATTGCCACGGGGGAATGGTTCCCTTTAAGTATGGACCAGTGTATGGTCGGATGTAAGGTCTGCCCAATGTGGATGTTGCCAACGAAGGGGAGCGAAGAGGCTCAAGCACCATGTTAACAGTAAGCCAAGACATGGGGAGGCCGTCACCTTATTGCGCGGCGGAGTTATCAGAGTTTATACTGTCTTTACAGAGCATAACAATTAAATGGATACGCATCTTCGACAACATACAAAAGTTCATCCTGCACGTGGTCGTTGCTAAGGTCGGCTTCGTCATATCCCCTTGTCAGCCTCGCCTTCAAGGATGCCTCAGGCGTGTCCGTCTTCGTGTTGTCGGCTGTTGAGATTTTGTGGATGTTATTCGGGACGGGCGTTTTCACGGAGACTGGCTTTGGGTTCAAGAAGTCAGTTCCTGATGTAAGCGACCGCCACACAACATAAGCTCATAGCCATTTGTTGTGGGACTCTTCCCCGAATCTTGGAAGCATACTGACGGATTTCGTTGCTCAGAGGCTTCGGCCACATTATATTTTTTATTCAACTATATATTTATCTATTCATTATCTTCTCAGCTTTTAGACTAACTATTAGTTTATACTTTAAGTATAAAGTTAATAATTATTTAATATATACCTTTAAACTTATTTATATATAGAATTACTAGCTTCCTTTATAGGGTTTTTTTTTCTATTATATTCTTTATATATTATATAAAAATAGATAAATTTTTAATAATAAAGTAGTATATTTAAAGAAGGAAAATTTAATTTTTAAATATTTAAACTTTTACTTTTTTATATAGTATTTATTTAATATATAATAAATAAACTTTATTTAGCTTTTAAAAGAGTTTTAATTTTTTATAAAATTTATATAAAAGGTTTTTAAATAGGTTTATTATTATTATTTTATTATTTTATTAGTAGTTATATATTTAAAATAAAGATTATAGTTTAGCTTATTTAATAAGAATAAATCTAAATAGCTATATAATAAGTATATTAATAAGGAAAAGTTAGTTTATTAAATTTTATATTATAGATTCTTTTTTATAAGGGTTATTTTAAAACTATTTTAATCTTATTATATAACTATTTTATTAACTATTAACCCTTAAGTTACTTATATTAATAATTTTAATATAATATTATTAAGAGTAATACCTTTTAACCTTATTTATATAATATAAAGTTTAGTTATATATTTATATATTATATTCTTTTTTTATTATTATTAGTATTAAACTTTTTTAAATATTAAGTTTTAAGTATTTACTATTATATAAAGGTATTATATATATATTATATATATAGGGATTAAAAATGAAACTACTTCATTGCTCAGATGAAATATAGAGTCTTTACCCCTGAGCTCCTGCTGGACATGGCTGTCTACGGCATCACATGCATTTAAGCCGGTTATCTGCTCGGGTCGTTCTGTATCGTTGTCTTTGGCTTCAATGGTGGTGGCCTCGGTCTCGACTGCAATAATCGGACCAGTGCGAGCCTATTCTCAGGGCCCGCGCCACGGCATACACCACCATGACCTGGATTTTCCCGCTTCTGGCTTGGGAGCTCATCCAATTCCGGCGGTCCTTCTTCGTCATGCCTGATGGTCACAAGAGGTGATGTATGCACCAGTGGGGCAACGCGTTCCTTTTCTTCTCCGTCACCATTGTCTTCATCCTGGTGTTTCCGACCCTCTATGTCCCCGTCATCGACACAGTCGTGTTCATGCATATTAGCATCACTTGGGAGTGGGCAGTTGTGTTCGCTGCTGTGCTTGTCTTCATGGTGAGCTCGGAGGTCTGGAAGTGGTCCAAACGGGTTTATTTTAGACGCGTGGCGCCGCCCATCACCGCCGGTATTACCGGGGCAGGAGAGGCTCCCGCTGCTGTATAAATCTTCGAACATGCATGGTTCCTGAGGCGATACTGCTGATGGTGCCATTCGTCATCGTGATCATGAATGAATGGTCATTGAGAGGAATTCGAGCGAGAAGAACTTTAAAAGTGCGAGGTGACCCAAGACCTGCCAAGAGATGTGAAATAGGCGGCTGCTCAGCATAACTTAGAGATTGTTCGCTTATCTCCGGGGAAGTGCCGCGTTGTAACCCTGCATGCTTACTTAATTTTCCGTTTGTCCTACCCCTCGCTTCAGCGTCGCAAGATCCAACCTCCTGAAGTCCCGTGTGTCAACTGGTTTTGTAGACTACTCAATAAGGATTGGCCTACCTAGGTACCAAAACGCGAGGTGCAACCGCCCGGGCGACCACAAAGTGATCCAGGCATTGCCGTTGTCCATATCCTGAGTTGGTATTAATATCCACGCCATAATTCGGCCAACCAGCAAATGGAGCCCTCTGTCTCCAGTCAGTGAAGCTGTATGTCGAGACAGTGACTGTCATCCTGACTCCTGCGATATGGGGGACGACAGGAAGTTCACCTCGGCAGCCGCCGACCCAAGATTATGTGAACAATGCTGGAAGCTGGACCTGTCTATGGCTGGAAGGAATCTGTCAGCCGAGCGGCAAGCTCTGGCTGAGCGAGCCGGGGCGTCGGGACGTTACACGCCCATGACCGACGTCGGGGTGCGCGTGGCCTGCATTGGCAACCTGTCTCGCACCAAGGAAAAAACTGACTGCCCTCTGTGCCACATTTTCCTAAGGGACAGAGAACATGGCGGATCTCCAGGATCCTCTCAGTCTCAGCAGGACGGGCAAGATCGGTTCCTGTATGCTTTCTCAGGGCAATATTGCTTTCAAGAGGCCGGCATGGGCTTGGAGCAGAATTTCCTTGTTGTCCGTCCGGACCTTGATGGGGACCAGACATATGGCATGGACCCGGTGTTTGTCAACAACCGCCAAATTCACGGAATAAATCACAAATTACACCCAGACTTTACACGCCGTAATCAACGCTACATCGTCTGTCAGGCCACTTCAAATTTATCGAGGTCTTGCGGTCTTCAACCAAGAGCTATCGCAGCAAAGCTTGATATTTCTGTTCTGAAGAATTGGTTACAGGCATGTCTAGCGTCCCATCAGCCCTGCCGTGCTGCAATGAAACGACAGGACATCATCCCTCCTGGCATGCGACTTATCGACTGCGAATCGAGGACAGTTTCCGATGCGGGGGGCATCGGCCTAGCCACTTTGCCATCCTACGTGGCATTAAGCTATGTCTGGGGGGCTGTATTCCACCCACCTATACAGCCAAGTGGGAGTCTTCCCGACCAGCTACCACAAGTCATCGAGGACGCAATTCACGTGACATTGACTACTGGATATCGGTATCTCTGGGTTGATCAATATTGCATCGATCAGACCAACAGTCCCCATAAAGCCCAGCAAATCAAGCTCATGGATCGAATCTACAGCGGCGCAGCTTGGACAATAGTCGACGGCGCTGGTATGGATGCTGATCATGGTCTCATTGGAATCAGTAGAGTTCGTTCGGAACATCTTGGACCTATTCACACGAAGGGCGGGATCCAAGTCTTTCACTGGCCCTCTTATTCGGCGGAGGTATTAGACGAATCAAAGTGGGCTACTCGAGCTTGGACCTACCAGGAGGCTTTCTTTTCCCAGCGCATTGTGATTTTTACGATGACAGGCCTGTACTTTGAATGCCAGTCGACCTACGAAAATGAAGGATTGGTTCGATATGAGGACTTCCCAATACCAGAACCTATCCTTGACAGTCGAAGAAGTTTCGGTTCTTTGTCTCCAAAGTACAGCTATGGGCCGCTGACACGGTCAATGGAGCCGTGGAGGCCGACAGATGGAGAAGGAAATCTCGACAGTGCGAGCGCCATTAACGACTTCTGGCAACGCGTAAAAGAGTACACCTGTCGACAAATGACATTCCCCGAAGACTCCCTTGCCGCCTTTCGCGGCGTTCTTCAATTTTACGTCCGTGGCACGCCGAATGACCAAGGGGAAACGACATTATCTAGCGTTTATGGAATACCTTTTTCCATCCCATCACCAACTCCCAGCGCAGGAACATCTGACGAACTGTCTCTGGGTCTATGCTGGAGCCATGCACACTGCAAGACGAGTTGCCGAAGGCCATCGCTTCCCTCTTGGTCCTGGGCGGGCTGGATGGGCCAAGTTCACGGCGGCAGCGACGATCGCGTCGAGTCTTTGTTGCGTGGCATATCTTTCGAGACACTTCACAGCGATGGGTCATATCTCCGCAAGCCTTGGTACAATATGAGGGGCGAGGATTTCTTTAAGATTCTCGTGCTGGAAGGGAATGTACTACCACATGATGCACTTTCCAGGACGGAGAGCGGCCACTGGAACGCATTGCGATTGGGCCCTCATGCCAGGTTTGATTTGGATGAAGACGTCCCACATGAGGCGATCCTACAAGGTTTGCAGGGGCGCACGTACGTTATCGTGCCTGTAGCTCTTCTTACCAGCCACAAGGCACAGGGTGGACCGTACTATTCCGTAAGAATGCTCCTTCTTAGACGAAGCCAGGATTTCTTCGAAAGAGTTGGTCTGTTTATTTTGGGAAGCAGCGTCATCTCTTTCAAACTGACCAGCCTTATTAACGAAGGGAAGACGATGTGGGACACGGTCACGTTAAGGATCATCTAGAGCACCCGTTAGACCCCCTGGAGCGCGGCAAAGCAGAAACTCCTATCAGCTCTTGGCCTTAATATCAGATGAACATGATCCTGTTTAAGCTATACGCAGTGCCTGAATGATTGACGACGGCGAGTCAGGCATCAACCACACATCGGCAATTATGGTTACTACAAGCTTATTAATTACAGCTCGGTAGGGATGGAATTATGCGACTGGCCCTCCAGGGCGCCTGACTCGGTCATCCCTAGTGTAGTTCGCCGTCTGGGGAAAACGAAACGGTTATTAGCCACTCTAGTTGAGTCTGACATATGCACGGATATTCGATTCACAGCAAAAAATGCACCCCATGCTACCTACTGCCTAGGGACGACGCTGTACAAATGCCTACCTAGGTAAATTTCCCGTCTACGTTGCTGGAATGCACTAGCCTTCACGAAAAACTCGTAGCAAATATAATCTTTACCGTCAATTTTCAAGGTCTTTTCACATGTCGACTTTGACCGGGGAGGGACTGGGTTTCATTTTCCCCAGACAGCGCCTGTTTCTTGTTTATTCGAAATTGGGAGGGCGCCCGGGCGGCCGTGGCGGTACCCTTAATAAGTTGTAGCTCAGCCTTCAGCCACGATGCACGTGCTTGAAGGCCAAGGCCGCTAGAAGGCTAGAGTTTAAAGTTGAGCCGCGATGGTACAGGGTAGACCCCTAATCTTTGTCAAAGAGTGACTTCCAAGAGGCTAGAAATGGATGCCCCGGCTACCTTGAAACTATAAAAAGGAACATAGTAGTACTAGGTTCTAAGGTAGGATTACTAGGAAAGTAAAGTACTTAGGTTTAATATGACGGTAGTGAGCGTAACGGTATAGAAGTCACCGTTTAAGAGTAGAAAGAGAAGATCTGATTGGTCTGTTAAGGTTGTATTTTTTCATGGGTGAAGTCCCCGAGTGACAAAGTTTAGGGGTGAATCCTGTAATTATAGGACGGAAAATGCTTGGCATACAAGGAGGGAGGGTTGGCATAAGCGATATCAACAACCTTGGAACATGGCGCGGGTCATCTGAATATATAAACGAGGCACGATTGTCGGCTGTCACGATAACTTCTGGACAGCATTCTTTCTCTTCTGCGTCAACATTCACTTTTATCCAGAACTAGTACTTTCATTAAAGTTTAAATTGACCTTCTTCGATACCAAGATGGTTTCCAGGGCATGCGCTTTCTTCTTGCTTGGGGCTGCCCAGGTGTACGCTCAGCAAGCACTCCGAGTAATTTCTTTCAACATCCGATACGACAACAGCGATCTGGGCTTTGGTGATGCTGAACAAGGCTGGCTGGGTTTGACATGCGCCAGCGATCAAACCTTATGCCGCGCACCGGGTGTCATTGGCACTCTGGGTAAGCTCCACCCATGCTATCTTATAGGAGATGACTTCAACGCTAACCCCATCTCTGCAGTTAATCAAACCGCCGAGGTCTCAAACGTTGCTGTCGTGGGTCTGCAGGAGGTACTGGACAACCAACTGAACGACATCATGACCGCACTGGGCTCCAACTGGGCCAGCATCGGCGTGGGCCGCGACGACGGGAAGAGCAAAGGAGAATTCAACCCCATCATCTACCGCAAGGACGTCTTCGAAGCAGAGCACTCAGAGACAAAGTGGCTCTCCCTCACGCCAGACTCGCCCTCCAAGGACTGGGGCTCGGGCAGCACCCGGCTCGTCGAGATCGCCGTGTTCAAGCACATCGCGACCGGGAGAAGGTTTATCCACGCCAACACGCACCTGGACAATGCCAGCGGCGAGGCCAGGACCAACCAGATCGGCGTGGCCGTCGACATGATCAAGGCCGTCGACACCAAGTTCGGGCCCAACCTGCCCGTTACGCTGACTGGCGACTTTAACGCCGCCGAGAGCGATGCAGCATACAAGACCCTGGTCAACGAGAAGTACGTCGACGACCTGTTTAAGGTTGCGTCGTCAGCCCAGCGCAGTGGGCAGACGGCAACATTTACCGGCTTCAGCGACGAGTTCTCTTCGCGTATCGATTACATCTGGATTGGTCCCCAGGGCAAGAAGGCGTTTTCGGTGAATGGGTACAAGACCTTGGACAACTTTGTGAGTGGGGTCAAGATCAGCGATCACAGGCCTGTGGTTGGGGACGTCACCTTGAACTAGAGATTTCCATGACTTGATTTGGCATTGTACTTTTTAAACGCTGGATCTTGAGAGTCTACCACTGTATAAACATGCCACACAGTTTTATGTGTGCGGGGATGAGAAACGAAATCACTTAATAGCATGATACCAAATTTAACCTTCTTCATACCACTGCCTTCTCCGAAGATACGTCTGCAAACATCGACTCCTCAGTTCCCAGTTCTGACCAAGACAAGTGGTTTCCCGGCTTGAACTATATCGTTCGGCTGAATCAGAACCTTCTCGATCTTTGAGCCCGCAAAGCGATCGTCGACACCGACATTGATCTCCATCTTCATCGCTTCAAGAATTGTAGCCACTTGTCCCTTCTCCAGCACCTGGCCTTCTTCTACAAGCACCTTCCACACATTTGCGTTGACGGGTGCTTCAATAGCCTCGATGTTTGGATCTTGAGTACTCGTTAGCAGTTGGTGGACCAAGAATCACTCCATTGGGTTTCACTCACCATCCAACAAAGACTGGATGCTCTCCATGGACACACCGCTTGCTTTCTTCTCCTCGTCCCATTTAGCCAGCAGCTCCTTCTCAAGCCTCACCATCTTCTCTTGAGCCTCTTCTTGCTTCTTCTTGATAATCACGACTTCGTCCTTGACGCTCTCCAGCAGCTCGTTGTGTCGCTTCATATCAAACGTCGTGGGCTCAACCCTGAACTCGTACCTGCCACTCCTGAAGAGCGCAATCTCACGATCATACTCCTCCTCGCTCACCTCATAGAATGTTATAATGTCCATGTCCTCATACAACCACGGCCGATCCTTCGAAAAGCCCTTCTTGTAACCTAGCTTGTCACATGAAGGGAGAGTCAAGCCATTGAGCATGTATCCGCCCGGAGAGTCAACCGGATAGATGGCAAGGCATGACCCGCCCCATGAGATCGTGCCTTCCGGGGTGAATGTCCTGGACGGGTTCATCTTCGGGCTGTTGAGACGGTGGCGTGGGTCCGCTGGCAGGCCCAAGGGAAGAGCCATGAAGAAACCAACACCGATGCACACGAATTCGGCAGTCAACCAAAGCTTGCGGAATTCCTCCGGGGTTATGGCGTTGTTCTCAGCGACGAATTTGAAGTTATCCGGGAGGTAGCTCGCGTATGGTCTCTGGTTCGCCATATACCGCTCGATTGACTCTGTCAGCCGGGGGTGAGTGAACGTCACGGGCAGCCTGAACGTGCGGTTCGGCATCGTGATGGAGCTCAGGTCGCCAAGCTCGTCTTCCAGCGCCTCAAGATGATCCAACAGTTGAGCCTGTGGAATCGCTAGCCCGTTGTAGTAGATCATCATGGAATTTCCGATGCAAACTGTGTTATAGATGCCTTCGCCGGTTGCGGAAAAGCGAATGGGTCCGGTGCCAGCTTCGAGTCTGCGTTTGAGAGCTGTGATGCGGCATTTATGGTTGATGTCGAAAGATCCATGCCCTACCAAGTAAGCAGTGTCAGTGATGGAAACATAGTGCGTTGGACCCTGCTGTGGTCAACCTACCATAATCGACCAACAAGTAGTCGTCTCCCCCCTGACGGTAGGAGATGCGTGGCCTGCTCGATGTTTCCTCGGAGAACCTAATAAGAGCCGGTTGTACTGAAGAAGGTGCTTTTAGGATAGACGTGGCGTCTAGGCTTTGCACAGTCTCAAATGAGCCAGAATCCAGCCACTTGGCAATCTTGTCGACAAAAGCGTCGTTCGCCTTCCGGGACCAGAGGGCTTCTTCCAACGAAACTGGAACGAACTTGACCGTGTTTCCGGCGCGCAGCTGTCCCACTTTCCAGTAGTCCGCCTTCACAACAGTGAAAGGGCAGACAAAACCCCCGAAGTCCGGGCAGTCATTGGGAAAGATCACCGGCTCGTCTCCTGTGAAATTAATGCCCCCGATAGGGTAGCCGTACTCGATCACGTTGCTAGGGTGCGAGCCGCCTTCTCCGCCCGATGTCCTGGCCCATTTAGGCCGAGGTCCAATGAGCCGGATGCCTCCTCGAGCAGCGTTGTGGGATACCTCCCAGTCCGTATTGTAGAACATATCGATGTCCTCGGGAGCTAGGAACTCTTCGCAGTATGGCCCGTGCATTACATGCAGAACCCAGTGTTCCTCATGCTTCGGCAAAATGCTCTCTGGTATCGACATCGGGTGGCTCGCTTCTGGCTCAGGAGGAAGTGTGTCCACGATGCGGAGCATGTCTCCCTATGAATATTACGGCATTAGTAAACAAAACCAATGTGAAACCAGAACTGATGAAATGCCAATGACTAACCGTTGCCAATGGGCGACCTTGATATCCACCAACCAAGGTCAGCGGCACAGTGGCCTTGGATCCAAACCACTCCGCAACATTCAGAAAGCCGCCGTAAACCGCGAGGTACGACCTGCACCCAGCATTCGATAAACTCTTCCCGATTGTCAAGCGCTGCCCCGCAGCTATCCTTACTCTCTGCCACATCGGAAAATCCTTGCCGTCGAGCGTGGCTGAGATGGCAGCGCCCGTGAGAGAAACGACCGCATCCGCCAAGAATCTGAGGTCAGGTCCAGTGAGCGTGATCTCGAGGCCCTCTTTTCCAAGCGGGTTACCAACAAGGGCATTGCCTATCTGAAAGGAAATCGGGTCCATCGGCCCGCCGTGTCCAAAGCCCTTGCCGATTGTTGGCCGGCCTGGATAGTCTTCGACGAGAGTGTAGGAGCCTCCGGCAAGTACGTCGATGGCTGGGGGGCGGAAGTCAAAGGTGGAAAGGAACTGAGTGATTGTGTTGCCGGACTCAAATTCTGGGGATTCCAGTATTGCAAGGAGGAAATCGAGATTGGTTGGGGGCCCACATATGGACGACTTTGAGAGAACCGTTTTGAGCTCCTCGACAGCCTCCGATCTGCTTTGTGCGTGGTGGAGCACCTTCGCCAACAAGGGATCTGGTGGAAGTTGTCAGCGACTGCGCATACGATAAGAGACGTCGACCTACCATAATTAGGACTGATGGTTATTCCAGCTCGGACCCAGGTGTCGACACGCGTTCCAGGAAGCTCATGGAAGATGACCTGCTGCAACAGTCCTGGAGAAGGGGCATAGTCTCTTGCCGGGTTCTCAGCGTAGACTCGCACTTCGATAGCATGCCCCTTTGGTTCTTGACATGATCTCGAGAGGTTTTCCACAACCGTGGTGTCCAATCCTCCTTTCCCTGCCAACTGCGTATCAGCCTGGCGGAGCATTAACTCCACCAGGTCAACTCCATAGACCATCTCCGTGACACCGTGCTCCACCTGCAATCTGGTATTCATCTCCAGAAAGAAGAAAGCACCACTCTCATCATCAACCAAGAACTCCAGGGTCCCTGCACTTGCATATTTGACAGACTCTGCAAGCGATATAGCAGCAGCACAGAGCTGCCCCCGCAGCTCGGGCCTCTTCTGCGCCACGAATGGACTGGGACACTCCTCAATCACCTTCTGGTGCCTGCGCTGGATACTACACTCCCTCTCACCCAGCGCCGCGACCTTACCCTGGCCATTACCAAACACCTGCACCTCGATGTGGTGCGCAGCTGGGTAGTACTTCTCCAAGAACACACCGGCGTTCTTGAACAGCGCAGCCCCGCGGGACTGCACCGTCTCGAACGCCTTCCTCAGCTGGCCCTCGTCACCACAGGTCTGCAGCCCCATCCCGCCCCCGCCGGCCGTGGACTTGAGCATCACAGGATACCCGAGCCCGTCCGCCGCGCGTGCTGCAGCATCAGCGTCGTCCAGCAGCCCCTGCGTGCCGGGGACGACGGGCACGCCGGCTGCTAGGGCCAGCTCCCGCGCCGTGTGCTTGAGCCCGAACTGCTCGATGCCCTCTGGGCTCGGGCCGACGAAGCACTGGCCTGCTGCGGCGACGGACCGGGCGAAGCTGGCATCCTCGGACAGGAACCCGTAGCCGGGGATGATGGCCTGCGCGCCGGCGTCCCTGGCTTTCTGGATGATCTGGTCGCCGTCGAGGTAGGCTCTTGTGGCGTCGCCCTCCAGGAGGAAGGAAATGTCTGCCTCGGCGACGTGTTGCGAGGCTGAATCTGGCTCTGTGTAGATGGCTACGGTCTTGATTCCCAGGTGTCTTGACAGGGACATGTTAGCAAATTCGAGCAGGTATGGGGTATGGCATGTGTTGCCTGGTGGCCGCGAGCTTACCTTGCTGTCTTGATGATCCGGACTGCTATCTCGCCCCTGTTTGCGATCAAGAGTGTTGTGAGCTGCTCCATTGTTGCAATGTGGTCCAGAAACCCGTGATTTGGCCAGATTCCATCAAGCTGCTGGTTGAGAACTGATATTCGTGAAAGAGCCCTAAAGAGTCGTATTCCGGGCTCACGACGTTGACCTATAATATGGTATCAGGTGCACCGTCCCGGGATATCGGTCGAAGGGTACATTCCATCTGCACGCGACTCCAGGAGGTTCCCCGCAGCGTTTTAGCTCGGATGAACCACCAATATCCCAGCTGCGTCATTGCCCTGGGATAGCTTCATTGCCATAATTGGTATGTCCAGCCGATTAGCACGAGGGCAGGAGATAAGCTTGAGCGGCCGTGGGTCGTGGGAGGCGGGGAAAGTTTGAGGGCGACAGGGATGAAACGGTCAGTCCGTATCGCACCCTGTGCCCGGTGACCATATCTCCTATGTTCACTTGATCGAGGATAATGCCCCACACGAGCTTTATCTCTCGTAAACTAACTATGCCACGGACATCCGATCTGCGTCGACATCGCTTTAGAGATGGTCGTAGATAACAAGCCTCATGGTGTCTCTGTGAAAGAGCAATTTCTTTACTGGAATTATTACATCCGCCCTTGCATCACGAAGTTCATAGGCGGACTGGATGATTTCGCGTCGGATTGTTCAAACACGGCCCGTGCTGACCCCGATGATCCTATGGGGTTGAAATTCTTCGTTGCACGAATTATACAATTCTGCAACTTGAGGAATCTAGCTATGTACCATTATACGAGGACACTGCATGCCGCTCTAAAAACCTTTGGTACCTCGCGTAGAAGTACGAAGTCTCGGGTATTGTTTCCAGTATTACCGGGAAGCAGTGCGGCAAGCCCTGATAACCAAAGACCTCGACTGTCACCCCGTCAGCCTCCAGAGCTTCCGCGTAGGCAAAAGCTTCGTCCCGCAAGATGTCGACACCTGCGCATTGTATCACTGTGATGACGAATCAGTAATTTGAACCTAGACAACGAAGATTTGGAAGACAACGCACGGGTTGGTGGCAACCCTCTCTTCGACCTTGCCAGCAATGGTGAATGTCGGTGGTCGGGGCTGGCGTTTGGAATGTAAATGTCGAGGCAGGCCTCATATCTCATTGTGCTGAGAACTGGGTTCTCAAAGTTCTGTACGTAGCTGCCGAATTCGTATTTGTCCTTCGGGAAGAACTTGGGGTGGCAAGTTGCTGGGAAATGAAGAACTTGAGCGAGCACGCCAGTGATTCCGTGGTCTCGGAGCTCGACAGTGAGCGCAGCAGCCTTGGATATATTAGCAACTAAAAATGAGAACTAGGGTAAATGTGCGTGCAGCGTGACTGACAAGGTTGGCTCCTGCGCTGGAACCGCTGATGATTATTCTCTCGGGGTCAACTCCCAACAAACTTGCGTTCTCCTTGCACTGAAGAAGCTCAATCAGCTTAAGTGAATTTACAGCCATTACTTTGTATTAATGGAAAACCTACCCATAATAGGCCGTCATAGCTGTCGTTGAGAGGATACGGGAACGCGTGCTCTGGTGCCCTACCCATAATTTAGCAAGATTAATGAGGGCAAGATGAAGATCCATCAAGCTCACAGTCGGTAGTCCACGCTAACAACAACGATATTGTTGTTGGTCGCAGCGTAAACATTCTCGGCACCATCAACCTCGTGGCTCCCCACACACCATGCTGGTAGAGGACCTGTCAGTGGGCTTGGTCTCAACGCGTCTCAACACCGACGCTTCATTGAACTCACCACCGCCATGCATTCGATACATCAGTACCGCATTCGGCTCGACATCCGGCGACTTGTATATCTTGAGCTCTGCCTTGTGCCCGTCGCGGGTTGTGAAATGCATCAGCTCGGTGACCACATCTCGAGACCGGTCTGGGCCACCAGGCGGGATAGATGCATCGGCGTCACCGGCTGCCTTTCGAAAACTTTGAATGTCTGGAAGGCTGTAGAGTTTTGAGTACCCAGCGCTGATAGCTTCTTCGGCGGCTTCGTAGGCAGGGTGCTTCTGAGAAAGGTTGCCGTACTTGGGAAGGGGTTTGAAGTTTGCGTCAAGATCAACATAGTCTGGCTTGGTTTTCGTGTAAATCATAGTGCATGAAATGATGCAGTCTTTTGGAAGACTGGAACAAGGGTGTTCGGGTACCTTGATAAATGGGTCGATACAGAATGGCCATGCAGTGAGTGGCGTGCCAAACTGTGCTTGACCTTTCCAACATTGAGCTATTGATTTCGCGCAAAACTCCAGACTTATATGTCTCTATCTAATGTGGTTCCAGTTTCACTCACTTCCACAAGTTTTGAACGCGTCTTCACTCCCCATTACGGCTGACCGGACCTCTGCGATGAGCCATAATGGCATTTGTGAGACTCGAGTGGCTGTGCAAGCACACAACGACAGGCCTGCCTCACTTGGCGATAATGAGCCAAACATACGACTCTTAACGGCTGCAGTAGCGGCTCCCGCCGTCATTAGCCCCAAATTGACACACGCCACCCCTGCCCACCAGGCCTGTTCGGCGCCCCCGTGAATATGAGTGCAGATGATTCATCGCCGCTAATCTCATTCAGGGCCGGTAAGGCACTGTTGAGAGGAATGAGCCGCATTGGCAAGCCACAACAACAATTACCTGACGCCTGTCTCAAGTGGCAGCATATACACGACAGAGCATATAAGAAGCACCGTCCTGGGGGACCTCTACTTTAATTTCTTCTGACCATGGAAGCTCCCAAACAAGATTCTGACCAGTATCCCGCGCTTACAAAATGCGACACTTTGACATGCCCAAAAGGGCAACCAACCTCGAAGAGGTCTCGCCACTGCAACTCGATCTGCGGTCTGACAACGACATAATCACCGAGCTCAGCACCTTCCGGCCCATCACGTCAGAGAAAAACGTGTGGGCCTTCTGGGACAAGGGCCTGCAGGCCATGTACCCCAGCTACCGATGCACCGTCCTCAACTGGGTGCGGAAGCTGGGCCCCAGCTGGACAGTGCGTGTCGTTGACCTCGTCGACGGGTCGCCTAACAATGTCTACAACTTTGTCGACGGGGAGTGGTTTCCAGACTGCCTCAATGACAACACCATGGACGGGAGCCACAAGGCACAGCACACTTCAGACCTCATTCGCCTCCCCCTGCTCTTCGAGCACGGCGGTGTCTGGATGGACGTCGGCAACATGCTGCACACTCATCTCGATGACCTCTTCTGGAATGCCCTTTCGGAAGGCCCGTACGAGCTCGGCTTGTGGATCATCACTGGCCAGATCAGAAAGAAATGGGGCAGTTTCGGGAACTTCATGCTAGCTGCGAGGAAGGGCTCTGCCTTCGTCAGGAACTGGCACAATGGATACAAGGAATTGTGGCATGGTCGCACCAACGAACACGGCTTTCATAAGCACCCCTTGGTACAGGAGATCGGAATCGCCGACGGAATGGCGGACTGGAACTTTGAGGAAAAGATGCTTGACATGAGCGACTACGTGGCCCAGATGCTCATTGGTGACCGCACGAGGAACCTCCTCGATGTCGAGACTGGGTGGAACGGACGCGAGGTCTACGAGAAGAGGGCATTCATGGTCGAAGGTATCCAGAATGGTGTCCTCGGCGCGATCAAGACGGACTACGACGGCGCGAAGCAGGTCGAGCTCTTCACGACACGTCTTGATGAGCCCGATCTGGAGAGGCGGGCCGCTGCTGAACGGTTTGTGGTCGACATGCTGGAGAACAGCCACATGTACAAGGTCTACCACAACTCGGCGGGTGGACTGCCTGCGCTGGGGGACTTGATCAAGAAGGATGGTCTCAGAGACGCAGATCACAGGCCCGGGACGTATGGCGAGATGTACAGGTACGGAACGGTGCACTGGCGGTCGAAGAGGCGGGTCGAACAGCTTTTTCCGCCACCGAGCGAGGATGAGTTAATCAGGGCCACACCGACGACACCGGCGATTCAGCATTTGAACTAGATATGGCGAGACAACTATAGACATTTTTCAAGGATATCCTTACAATTGAGCTGAGCTTCAGCCTTTTCGTTGTCCAATCGGTACACGGTACCTCCAACGTCTCTGGCTGGTTTTGTCAAATCCTCTATGCAAGACCATTGGCCTTGTTGTATTCGTCGACAACCTGCCGAGCAGCCTTGACAATCTCGACACAACCAGGCGAGTCGGAATGACAACACAAGGAGACATCATAGTCCTTGGTCGGCAACTGCACCACCTCGCCAGTGACAGCCGTGACCGCCGACTCCTCAATCTGCTGCCGCACATGCTTCTTCACATCCTCGATCGCCCACGGCTTCTTCTTGCGGTCGATCACCAGGAACCCCTCAGCATTATACTTGACATCGCCATAAAACTCAGCCACGAACTCGATCCCCATCTCCCTCGCGACAGTCTCCATGTGCGTCCCAGCCAGGCCGAACACCTTGATGCCCTTGGGGACGCCCGCCCAGACGGCGCGGCAGACCTCGGCGTCGCGGCACATCATGCCGTAGAGGATGCCGTGGGGCTTGACGTGGTTCAGCTCCATGCCCTCGGCGTCGAGGAAGGCCCTCAGCGCGCCGACCTGGTACATGATGTTGGCGGTGTGCTCCTCGGGCGCGAGCTTCATCTCGCGGCGGCCGAAGCCCTGCACGTCTGGGAGGCCCGGGTGGGCGCCGGTCTTGACGCCGTGCTTCTTGCACAGGCTGACGGACTCGAGCATGTGGAGGGGGTCACTTGGGATGGTGCTGTTAGGGCTGGCATTGCTCCGACGGGGTTCTGGCCTTTGTATGGCCCCTGCAGCAGTGGCAGCTTGAGGCAAATTATGGGGACTCACCCGGCACTGAGAGATTGTTAGTATTTCTGTGGATGTCGCGGAAATTTCTACATGGGGTAGTTCGGACTCACTGGAAACCACATGCGATATTGGCATGGTCAATCATGGGTATCAACTCCTCGTCCGGGCCGCATTTGTAGTTGCCATACCCTTCTCCCAGATCAACGTTGATGAACGCCTTACGCTTTTGGGGAGCCATTTTCGTGTCTGATGGGAGTCTGCCTTGATCGTCGAATCGTTCGAAGTCTGTATGCGTTGCTTTCTTCATCAGTGATAGCAATGATACGGGCCCGGGGCTGCCAAAATCTCACGACTTTGCTCCCTTTTGTCCGGCACTCTGCCCGAGTAACACGTGGGGGTGGGTCATGATGGGAAGCCGGAAACTTTGAAGCTTGATGTCATTGGCGATAAGAGGTCCGGACGGGTCCCAGGCCCAACCCCGCTCCCCAGCGGCGTCTCAGCCCGTAGCAGGGCGATGCCGGACTCTAGCTGCCCACCCGGACCGTAGATCCCAGATCTTGGACACGCTCTTTTACGTACGTTCGTACCCGGAGGTCTGAGAGCCCAGCGAACGCGTCTGCTGACCCGACATGGAGTATTACCAGGAGTTTTCGGGGCGCATAACGTGGTTTAAGTCCGGCATCACTGGCACTACTCAGCCGCATGGGAAGCAACGTTACACGTATTATTATTATTATTATCTCTCAAGCAGCGCATAAAAGCCCTGCTCAGGGTTGAGGCATTTGGGTTTAGGAACGAAGTGGGCCATCATCGGACCACAATTAGAACAGTCGCTTCAGTCAGCCATCTTCACCGCTTGGGGGATTCCCGATGAAGCTTTTCGGAACGACTTCACATAGGTAATACCAAGCAAGGGGCTGGGAGTACCGCAACAAGAGCGAGCCCAGACATCCCACGCTCCCCCTGGACCATGCGGCTCTGTAAACCAAATCAGGCACAAACGATTCCCAAGGCGGATCCGCTGAACGCCAAAGGGATTCAAAGCCGCTGCGGAAGTGAGCGAGCCCCCAAAATTGCGCCCAACGAGCCGGAATACACGGCGTTGGAAGACCAGACGCCGAAGCAGATGGCGGGGGCCGGGCCAGAAGTGATCTTTTCAGGGATGTACCGACGACGCAGGCCGCAGAGACGGCATGTCGCCTGCTGGCGGTCTGTATTACATGCGTCGAACCGGAGCTCCCACAGCCGGCGCCAAGGGGGTTTCTTGCCCATACGATGGCCTTGCCCGCGGGTGCTGAGGAATGGTGTTGTCAAATCCAGGCAACCGGGTCGCACGATGCGGCTCTTGCCAGGCTGAAGGATTCCACTTTTCTGCGGACTATTGTACAAGCGAGAAAATGAAATATGACGGATGCGCAAGGGACGCAGTCATCATGCGGTGAAATCTTTCCAGACTGCTTCGAACGTTGTCCCGAGGTATTATTCATGACGTTCGAGAATGACACAAGGGACGAAAATAGTTCCAAGCCCTAGCCATTACCTACATATATAAGTGCGTACTTAAAGAATGGCGGTCCTCCCCGGCACATTTTCTTTTGTGTTGCTTACAGTGGATCTCGGCGAGAGGATTTGGCCACGAAATGCCAACAAATCTGACCGCAACACATAGCACACTGTGGGAGGATTTAGGAATAGTGTCTAGCCCAGGTAAGCTGATATGATGGGTACACCGCCAACTGCAGTCAGATATCGCCTCCTTTTGGTACCGGTGGTAGAGATGAAGCGGGATCTCGGGAGGCTCCGTCGCCTTGTAAGGCTGGCATGGTGAGGATCTTAGTGGTTAACCAAGATTCGCGAAGGTTCATCCTCCGATCGCCTCGCTTGATCTTGGAAGGAGCTGTGTCAGATCCTCTTCTTTGTGGAAGGCGAAAGGCTCCCTCGTGGGGGTCTGTTGGCTGTGGTCCGCCAGTAATCGAGATCGATCGGGAGGTGTACACAGAGTAGAAATAGGGCTAGGCACTGTCGGTGGTCATTCGGCGCGTCAGCTTTGTCGAGTTCAAAAATTTCTTTGAGAGCCTCGTTCCCATGGCGGATTATGGAGGGTCGTTGGATGGGGGTCCGTGAAAGGCTTCGAGGACGTTGGGGGGATGTGGTATGTTGCACGAAGAGTTCAGAGGCTGAATAAAATGGGCATCTTCTCCCGCGGAAATGATAGCTTTTACGTCGAACATTGAATACAGTAATTCAGACTTCTTTGAGCCGTCCCTTCTTTGCCTCTCAGCCTGGAATAATGGACTCACAACTTGTACCGGGCGTTGTTGTCCTCAACAAGAGGTACTTCTCCCGAGATCCCCTTGTTACGGCAAAAGTCGGTGCTAGTTCCTTCACTTTCGCCGTTCTTCGCGTACTTCTCGACCAGAATATACTGTCCGGAGTCGTTTTGTATTGCCGAGATGAACAGTTGGCTACTCCACACTGCGAAGTTGAAGAGGACTGGAACGGGGCCATTATAGTCACCATGTATTTCAACTTCAAAATGGACAAACTGCAGATTGCTACTGGTCTGCAAAAGGCCTTCCGGCTCGCTTCTACCAAGAACGCCACGCCGTCGCATCCTATTGTCTACTACCAGACTGACACGCTCCTTCACTACCACCCGGAAGGCTATCGGTTCTGTGTCACACACCACGGGCCCTTCGCTTCACACTTTGCTCAGGAATACTCCCTTGATCTTGCACGACTATCCTTCGGTGGTTCCCAAGACAAAGCCGCCACGCTCTGTCAGCAGCAACGACTTGGTATCCAACGCCTGCTCCAGGACAACCAGGGTACTGTTCTCGCCCATTCGAGACTCCAACAACGCATATTGGAAAATGCAGGGCTCAACACCAACAGGTTCAACTACCTCCACCCACCAATCGGAGTACCCCCCTGCAACGACCCAACAATACTTCCCACAGCTATGCAGCATTTCATCCACGGGGCAGATCTCGTCCTCCTCACAGCCGTGGCGCGCCTGGACTACTTCAAGAACGTCGAACTGACAATCCAAGCCGGGCTCGAGCTCCTCAAGGCAGGCACCCCGGTCCGGGTCCTCGTCGTGGGGGACCCAGAGGCCGACAGCTCGCGCCGCAGGGCCCTCCTCGAGCCGGTCTCGGCAGACCTGCACGCGCACTTCATGGTGGCGCCCCGGCTGCCCAAGGACAAGCTGTACGCGCTGTTCAGGGCAGTGCGGCGCAGCGGCGTGTTCCTGTGCACGTCGCGGTACGAGACGCTGGGCATCACGCCCCTCGAGGCGGCCGCGGCCGGCGTCGCCACCCTCGTCACCGAGACCCCCAACGTCGAGGCGCTGGCCTTCGTGCCCGCCGGGTGCCGGGTGCCGCAGGAGGCGGCCGCGATAGCTGCCAGGGTGCAGGCCATCCGCCGCGACGGGGTCCCCGCCTGGGCGGAGATGGTCAAGCGCCATGTGCGGCCTGCGACCTCGCTCGAGGGGTTCCGGGAGGACCTGTTGGCTGCCTGGGCCGGGATGTCGGCGGCCGACGCGCGAGGTGCTGTCACTGGTGCTGATAGCCGCAGCGATCAGTCTTTACAAAACGGGGAACGGAGGAGGTGCTGCTGCTAGAAGGAGGTGTAGTCATGTCCAGTCAGAACTTACCTAAGCACACACGGGAGATCTTCTTTTTTTTTAAGGGGGGGGGGTTCCCTTTTGGTGGTTTTCTTCTGGTCTTCTCTTCTCCACTTGGGTGGGCAACTTAAAAGCGATTAGAATGCAATCCATGGATTTCACTTACTAGTAGAGTGTCAGTTAAACATTGATTTTGGAAATATAGAAAAATGGCAAAACCACTCAGTCATTATTCCATTTGGATCCGGCTCCGGGGACCTATTCGAGTCCATCCTCGTTCAGGGCTACTGAAGTAGTTACCCACGACGTTGTCTCTGTCGTACAAGCCCATGTTGACCCGAAGTCAGCCGGGATCTCATGGGCCTCTACCATTGAGGTTGGTGTTTTTAAAAGCAATGCGAGGGTTCATCAATGGATAGATACAAGCTGATTCACATCCTATAACCAAAGACGTGGTCGATTTGTCGCTGTAGTAGCATGAGGTCAACTGGTACTTCGCATTCTGATGGCCCTCACGACTGAAGTCGACGTGGCAAGGTGATCAATCCGCGAAAGTATGGTCGTATGGTCAGATCTATTACAGTTGCAATCTGAAACAGCCTCGTATCACTATGTAGTGTAAATCAAACGACTTGCTCTATCTTCTCATTCTCTCTTCTACTTGATACCCTGCATTGATCGGTATAGAGACGGGGACAGATACTCAGAATATGTCTCGGGGAGGTGGGCAGCCAGGTACCCTTCTCATTATCCTGTCGAAGGAACTACCGCTCTGAATCATGGGGCCCTGCACTCCCATCAGGACGTCGGCGTTTGCACAAGACTGGCCGCCCATGTCTGGAAGATGGACCCAAGGACGTACAGCGCGTCCAAGACCGTCGTGACCAATCGTGAGCGTGATATACTTCGCGAAGCTTAGAGGCAGTATGCACGCCATTCCAAAGTCGAGAACAACTATCTCATCCATTTCGTTGATCATGAAGTTGCCGTCGTTTACATCGCAGTGACAGAATACCATGGGTTCCTGTGACAGACCACGGAGAAGAGGGAGTTTGCGTCTGCGCATGCCTGGCAACTCGATGAACTATTCCCAGTATAAAGGTATTCCCCTGTCAGTCTCACCGGATGACTGTCAATTGGAAGAAGGACTATGTAGCCTACCATATTGAAGTGCTGCTCCAATTGCTCCACATTCTCGTAAGGCCTGGGCGCCTCCTGGTCTATACCAAAGACAGGATGCCGTATGAGAGCTCCGCTTATTGATGCAGGTGGAGTACCAGCAGGCACCGGGATGCGTAGAAACTCGTCCAAGACGAAAGCAACTCGGCGGTGTAGTCCTTCTAGCGTTTCCCGGCACTGCTCTGGTGGCTGTGACTCGCGGGCCTTGCGTTCCAACGAGCCCACCGTTTCGCCACGGATGTATTCCATAACTATGTAGGTCCACCTCGGGCCCTTGCTGTCCGTGAAAGCGTAGTATACGGCTGGCACGCGGACCGGAGAATCGATCTTCTGTAACTCCTGGTGAAGGCGTGTCTGGTTCACGAGTTCGTCCCAGAATACGCCAGGACCGTATTTTATCCATAGAGTAGGCTGTTCTCCAGGGGGATAGGCGAGTTTCATGGGGTAGTAACCACCTTGCTGTTCGGATATGTCCACGCACATTGCCTTGATGGTTGCTGCAGAGGGTATTGTGACGCCCGATAGCGGTGGTGGGCCATTCCACTCTCGCAAGATTTCCACATCAGCCATGGTTTGTGTAGACCTGGCCGAACACCACCTCTCCCAAGGAAGACAAGACACAGAATGATTCCACGGATGAATTGTTGCAAAGATTGGCCAGTGCTTCTTCGACCTGCGATCAGAGTCAGGTCTGTGCCACGGGTTCAATGTTGTATGCCGTGGTGAATATTTCGCATCTGTCAGCTTGTCAGTTTAAATAGCAGAGTGCTGCCTGGGCTGTGGCCAGCACACCTGCATGCGGCTGTTGGTGAGTTTGTGGTGGGTCAATCGTGATGGGCCACTCATGACAGACTAATCGCTAGGGGTGAACTCATTGTATCTCCGTGCTATGCCAGTTGCCCAGCCCGTGCAAACAAATGCTGATGCGGTAGACAAGGCGACTTGCATTGCTACTGATGCTTCTTGAGCACTTGAGGGCCTGTGGGAGCATGTCCAGTAAGCCAGAGGGAAAATGGATGCACCCACGTCCCATAGGCGTAGGTTTGTGCTTATGTTGACTGATTGGCAGACCGAGCTAGGGTTTCCAACTTGTCCAGTGCAATATTGTCGAGATGCCCTCATCCATCTACATTGTGGCATTGTGGGGTCTTCCCGCTTCTGGCTGCTCGTAAGACGTTGAACAGCCCTGCGTTGCCAGCCTTGGAGTCTGGCCGGGGTCTTGTGAGCCTCACCTGAGGTTTTGCCCTCTGGCATGTGATGGGCGGAAATAAGGCAGGAAATATGGGGAGCTTTCACATGCATGCCTCGATTGTCAGAAATGACACAACCACCTGTTCACCTGCTCAGCCCACAGCCTCGAACCTCGCCTTGCCATTGAGATCGGCCCCGAAAAAACAGAGGGGCAAAAACTCCGGCAGGGGTCGCGACGGCCTCGGCAACTAATGGAAACACGAGAGCTTGTCAAGGATCGGCCTGGCCGGGACATCCCGAGGCGCCGGCGGCCAAGGTAGAAGAGAAAAAAGCTTTGGGTCAGGATGGTTGAGGAGCCCACCGTTTTTTAACAACAGCCGACTCGATGCTGTGTTATTGTGATACTTAATCTACCACGTTATGATCTGCGTGTAGGAAGTATCTGACTATTTGACCCCGGTGGGTGGTCGCTGAAAATGGAAGGCGGTCAGGTTCTGCCGCACCGTTGCGTCACTTTCTCAGCTGGACGGGCAGGGGGCCAGGTGGGAAGGTTGGACTGGGGAGTGGGACAGAGATGCCGAGAAGGCAGGGGCAGCAAGGCGGGAAGGAGCTCAACAACTGACAGATGACAGCAAAAAGCATAGGCACAGGCCAGTATACCTTCCCCGGCCGACCGTGACTCGCTCTCGGCTCGTTTTTGCCTGTCCTGCCCCAGCTGAGAGCTCCTGCTTCCCACTCCCTTGGTACCTACTCTCAGGTACTCCGTACCCCGTACCTACCCTGTCAAGTGAGACGTGGGGTCCTCTCTTCCCTGCTCCGTCTCCTGTCAGCCTTCTTCCTTTTCTATTTCTATAAAACAGCTTGTGTGACCACCACTGCTTCTGCCTCCAGCTCTCGTTCATATGCACATGCACGCCCTTCGCATTGCTCGAGTTGACTCTTTCTCTCGCGTTCCCACATACACTGCCATACTAAATACCCCACCCAGATCAACAAGAGCATTCCTCACAAGCTCCAGCCCGGCCCGACATTTCTCGAAAACGCAAACGAAAACACCCACCAGCTACAGCAACAGCTGCCTCGCACGCATATATACGCCCTTCGCCTCGACTCTCCACCCCAGCCGATCCGCGAACACATCTAGCAGGTCCAGGATCACAGTCCAGCGCAACATGGCGACCCTAGGAGCGGCCTACGAGAAGCGCCACAAGGTGACGGTCATTGGGTCTGGAAACTGGGGCTCGACCATCGCAAAGATCGTCGCCGAGAACACAAAGGCTCATCCAGAGACCTTCGAGCCCGAGGTGCAGATGTGGGTCTACGAGGAGGAGGTCGCGATATCCAACGACTCCCCACACTACGACCCCGCCGTCGGTGACCAGAAGCAGAAGATCACGAGCGTCATCAACAAGTACCACGAGAACGTCAAGTACCTGCCCGGCATCAGACTCCCCGACAACGTCGTCGCCAACCCCGACCTGATCGACGCCGCCAAGGACTCGACCATCCTGATTTTCAACCTGCCCCACCAGTTCATCGACAATGTCTGCAAGCAGCTGCGCGGCCACATCGTCCCCTACGCCCGCGCCATCAGCTGTATCAAGGGTGTGCACGTGTCCGATGACGGCGTGTCGCTCTTCAGCGAGTGGATCGGCGACGGGCTGGGCATCTACTGCGGCGCCCTGTCGGGTGCCAACATCGCGTCTGAGATCGCCGCCGAGAAGTGGTGCGCGACCACCATCGCCTACGACCCGCCGCCCATGGATGCTAGCCGCAACCCGACGCCCAGGACGCAGAGCCCTGCCGCCAACCAGACAAAGTTCGACCTCAGCATCACCCCCGTCAACCAGCCCCACAAGGACGCCCGCGGCCGCAACAGCAGGGTCAAGCTCACCGCCGTGCCCGACACCTTCCCGCCCCTCGACCACATGACCTTCAAGGCCCTGTTCCGCAGGCCCTACTTCCACGTGCGCATGGTGTCGGACGTCGCCGGCACGTCGCTGGGCGGCGCGCTCAAGAACATCGTCGCCGTGGCCGCCGGCTTCGTCGTCGGCAAGGGCTGGGGCGACAACGCCAAGTCCGAGGTGTGCCGGCTGGGCATCGTCGAGATGATCAAGTTCGGCAAGGAGTTCTTCCCGCAGACGGTCAACACGGCGACCTTCACCGTCGAATCGGCCGGCATGGCGGACCTGGTGACGAGCTGCTCGTCGGGCCGCAACTTCCGCTGCGCAAAGCTGTCGGTCGAGCGCGGCGTCAGCGTCGCCGAGGTCGAGCGCACCGAGCTCAACGGCCAGATGCTGCAGGGCACCTCGACCGCCAAGGAGGTCAACTCGTTCCTGCGGGCCCGCGGCCGCACCCACGAGTACCCGCTCTTCACGGCCGTCAACGACATCCTGGAGGGCAAGTGCAGGGTCGACGACATCCCGGACCTGGTGGCGCAGTCGGAGGATTGGGACCTGGACGGTGAGTTGGTGAAGGACGAGTGAGGCGCTACGATATCGTCATCGTCGAATGCGGCCGAGAGTCATTTGTTTCTGTTGTGTTGAGCGAGGATGTTGATTTTTATTGTGTTTGTTATTCAAGGTATCGCTGCACCGGCTGCGGTCGTCAAGTCGAGGCTGTAGATGGGGAGCTGGCCTGGCCTGGCTTGGCTCCTACGCGGACACGCATGATTGGAAGGGAAGAAAGAAGCATGGATAAGGGGGGATCAGAGACGCCAAGAGAAGAGGATGGAAGACATGGTTGGAACATTGTTGGATACCCTGATTGTGAGTAAGTGAAGGGGTCGGATGAAGGATGGGAAGGATATTCGGTTGGGGGGGGGGGAGGTTGGTTATTATGCATGCTCCCAGCGCGGTGGCGCAGTGTGGTAAAGTTTGGGGGGGGGAGGGGGGCGGGGGCATTGTACTAGAAGATCTTCTGAGTCGCAGTGGTATAAATACTAGATCATCCGACGTGTCGTTTCTGGGTTTTGATTGCTGTGAATTGAATGCGAAATAAGTGTGGTTTCCTTGTCTCGCGGCTTGAAAGTTGCTGCATGTGACCTTGCTAACACTAGTTGAGATTCCTATACCTACCTGGCAAGTGGTGATGGGGTGTACTCACCCGGCAATGCATTCTTAAGTGATTTGAATACGGTCTAGGAAGGAATACTACTATTGAGTATAATGTTAGAAGTGATCAATATGCACACCTGCAGAAATCCGTTGGTTGCACGTGACGTGGCGGGTCATTTCTTGTATGGTACCTGAAAAACAAAGGCATCTTTCACACGTTACCTTGTTACTCAACTTCTTCTTGTAAAGACTCAGAACTACGCAACCCTCAATCTATTACCCAAAAGAAATAACCCCATAGGTACTTATGGCGAACAGTTTACTTGGTGCTACAGGGCGCCGTTACATCTTCAAAGAACTGATCCAAGAGAGGCCACATCTCGGCCGCGTGTGGTTGGCAACGTCCGTCCTTTTGAATTTTGTAATCTCAATTGATTTGTGCATCGGTCTAAATGAATTTTCGTTAGATGTGGACATGAAAAGTTTGTACTGAAAGACATCCCCAAAGATATCTACTCGAGCTTCAACGAGGACATACGGCCCAGGCTCCGCGAGCACGAAAACCTACGTTTGCCAGCAGATACCATCCCCGGCAAATCCATCTTTGTGTACAAGTACCTGACAGACGATTTCCTGGGCCTGGTGGCCAAACAAAAATTGCGCACTGCGGATAAGAGGAAAGTCCTCAAGGCTTGCCTTGGCGGGATCGCGGAGTTGCATGACCAAGATGTAGTGCATTTAGGTAAGTCACACATAATGTCTGAGCTTTCATGATGGGGAAGAGGCAACACTAATCGTCCAATCTTTCAGATATCAAACCCGACAATATTATGGTTAACAATGGGCCAGACTCTACCATCGACCAAGTTCAGATCATCGACATCGAGAACGCAGCATACCTCCCCAAAGGCCGGTGCATCAAGGGAATGCTGCCCGGCAACGACAACTGGCGCAGCCCAGAGGGACATTTCAAGGGCGAGCTCAACAAGCCGTCGGACATGTATTCATTCGGGGCCGTGGTAAGTGAATCAATCACGAGCACTCGAGAGTGAATCGCGGCGAAACCAACGCCTCTAACAAGTCCATCCACACCACGCAGTGCGTCTACACCATGCTAGGCCGCGTCCTCTTCGGGCTAGACGACGACTTCCGGCACCACGAGTCGCAGGGCGCCCTGCCGACTTTCATCCGCCTGCAGCGCCAGGTCTCGTACTTTGGGGACAAAGACGGGCTGAACGGGCTCATGACGCACGTTGGAGACGAGGAAATCAACTGCCAGATCTTAGGGATGCTCTGGGACGAGCGGACGGAGGAGCATATTCCGTACAAACCGTTCTCTACGTGGCCGGATGTTGTTGATGAAGATGGCTCGTTCACGGATCTCGTCCAGCGCATGTTGAACCTGGATCCTGCGGGGCGGATCACGGCGCGTCAGGCTTTGGGGCACCCTTGGTTTGTTGGGGTTTGACCCTCTTGTCTTTTTGTGTTTTTTTGTTTCTTTTTGATTTTCTGCCTGTTGGGAAAAGAGGAGCCTCTTACTCCTCTCAAACTAGTACAGTAATCTTCATGTACTGTTAACTTTTAGGTAGAACGGGGTTGCTTTGACGCCGAATGGATGGTCGAGCTACTGCTTTCAGAGACCCCGTACTACCCATATTGGTAGGTAGGTATTTACGTGCAGTCCCTCTAACATAGCTGTGGTGAACTCCTATCCGTTTCGCTAGGGTGAATTGGCCATGGCTCTCAGGCTCAAGGACTATCTGGCCGTGCATCTTGCCCGAATTCTGCATTAAATCCAACTTGAGGCTCTTGTCCCCTCTGGCCAGTTTGCGGGTGTTTGTGTGAAGAAGCGTACGCGTTGGGGACGTATACGAATTTAAAACGAAATGACTTGCTATCCCACTACCATCCACACCAGTTTTGCGTCCATTCTCATCCGTGGCACTATCCATACACTCTGAGTAACCCCAGACCATATTGCTACCAGCTCTGCTCACCAATAGAACTCTTGGGAACGACCCTGGTCGCTCCTCTTCCAGCTGACAGATTTGTCCTACGTTGAAGTTTAGACTTGATCCTCTATTGCTCTGATCATCAGAACCTCAGCCTCATTTCCAGGTGTGCGACAAACTATCATGGAGGCGGAGAAAGTCTAGCTGGTGTCTATGCAAACTATCCGGGAGTGAACAATTGAGTATGGGGGGATTAGTGTCGAGATGCGCAACTAAACTCGTCGTCTGCAAACCCTCCTCCAACAAGTCCCCATTGCTCAGCCCTGAGGGCAGACATGCGCCGTCTCGGAGGACAATCTCACTGTCGATGTCGGCAGGGAGAGCACATGCTAGTTGGGGGCCCTGCTTCACAATCTCTGTAGATTACGCTCCCAGTCTTGTTTATCCAGCCTTAGCAGTCCAACACAAGATCTTGCAGCACCTTAGGGCGGGGGAAGCCTCCGTGTGACACGGTTTCGCAAGTGGATCTGTGCAAAGCCCTTATGCAGCCTTGTCCCGTTTGATTTACGGGTCTCCTGTTAAAGCATGTACCGACTTGAGACACACAGGCTATCTCAAGTCTGCCTCGAGCTCTACCTGGGTGCAGAAGGCTGAGATGGCATAGGTTGATTTACCGCTGGGACTTCAATGTTGGAAGTCCCCCGGGGCCTCCAGGCTGGACATGTAGCTTCGGCCCAGGCGTCTTAGTAGATAAGCAGTTCCGGACTCCGTCTGACCACCTCGACAGGTTCCCAACAAAGAGAAATGGTAAATATAAGGGAGAACGGAAATTCGCGCACCCAGAATTGGAAGGCGCGCACCCATCTGCTAACTAAGAGGTACTCTATATAAAGACTTCTTCCACAAAAGGGCTGGCTAGGGCGAAGGGGGCGAGCCCCAGAGCGCGAAGCATAGCGGAGGGCCGTAAGTAGGGCCGATAGGCACAACCCAAGTTCCTAAAGGACCAACCCACCCTATTTATAGTCCTAAATAATAAAGAGGACTTATTTATTAAAGTTATAAGGACTTTAAGATTCTATCCTCTAATTGGCTGAATAGTAGGGAGGGTACGCACCTTCCAATTCTGGGTGCGCGAATTTCCGTTCTCATATAAGGATTCTAGGCTTTTTTCAATAATGGCATTTTCATCTAATGTAAACTAGCATTCCCCCAGCGGCTACCACTTTACACTACAAGTCTCAATATCAGGCAATATACAGTCGCACTAGCACTATTGACAACTATCAAGATTAAAGCTATCACAGTATACAAACTAGTTTCACACCTTTAAAGACTATGGGAAATCTAATTGCCGTGTGATCTATGCCTTAATAAATTGCCTGAAATGGATATGGACAACTATAAAACCCCAGCACGTCTCCGGTTGTCTCGTGGCACATGCGAAACCTTTTTTCTTCTCTACAACAACACACAACCATCCTCAAGCCTACAATCCCGAGCTTGACCATCTCAGAACTCAATCTTCTCATTCTCACCCTCATGTCTCAATTTTCAAACCAACTCATCATCTGAAACACATTCTCCGCCCTCTGATCCAAAATGAACATCTCCAAGATCTTCCTCTGCCTCCTCGGGGCTGCCAGCACCGCAGCCGGGCTTGGCTGGGATGACAAGGCCGAGCGGGCGACTTGCTGGAATTCCGGCATGGAGTTCTCACAGATGCACGATGAACACGACCAGCCCGGCAACATCGAGGACGCCATCATCGACTACTGCGCCAACGCGCTGCCCATGGGAGACTGGGACAGGGGCCACGTGGTCGCCCACTGCTACCCGTTCCCCAAGGACAACTCCGGGAACAGGGTCAACCTGGAGGTCAAGAACGAGGCGTACACCAAGCAGAGCCTGGCCGTCGACGAGTGCATCTACGCCATGAAGTACCTCTACCACGAGTGCTGGTGCGGCGGCGCCAACGACTACAACGGCTTCTTCTTCAAGATCGACCCCAACGCGGGCAAGTGCTGAAGCCTCACGGGGCGGCAATGCCCCGAGGCCTTCGAAGCTGTGCAGGAAAGAAAAAGGGAGGTGCAGCCTCCAGCGGTCCTTGGGCGGAGAAGCCGCCTGCGGGCTTGGACGGGGCTAAGGTGGACGGGTTCGAAGGGCTCACTCCTGTGGTTGCTCTTCTTAGCCGGACCTTGAATGGGTGGTGCGCTGTCTGCGTCTAATCCCCTGCCGGTGGTCTACTATGCGCACCTTTGGCGGCGCTATTTGTGGCAAGTCGGTAATCGCTTAGTTTAGTGTGACTTCCCGTACAAGGCGGTCTAAGTTAGTGGTTTCGTTTTCAATCCCCATATATATAAAATGTACGTAGCGCCTTCATACAGTAGTAAACGCTCAAGACCCAGCATCTAAAGAAATACAATACCAATAATAGTAGAAAGAGAATATAATATATAGGTATATAGCTAAGCCTCATACTATATAAATAAGGTTAGAAGGCATTACTCCTAATAATACTATACTAGAATTATTAATATAAGTAGCCTAAAGGCTAATTTATTATAATACTAGAGTTAAAACTAGTAAAATAGTTATATAGTAAGACTAAAATAGTCTCTTAAAATAGCCCCTATAAGAAGAAGAATCCTATAATATAAGACCTAGTAAGCTAACTCTTTTCTATTAATACACTTAATAGCCACTTAGATCTACCCTCACTAAATAAGCTAGTATAATCCCTATTTTAAGTATATAACTACTAATAGAATAGTAATACTATAATAGTAAACCTATTTAAAAAAACCTTTTTATATAAATTCTATAAAAAAACTAAAACCCTTTTAGAAAGTTAAATAGAATTTATTTACTATATATTAAATAAACACTATATAAAGAAAGTAAAAGTTTAAATATTTAAAAATTAAATCTTCCTTCTTTAAATATACTACTTTATTATTAAGGATTTATCTACTTCTATATAATATATAAGGAATGTAATAGAAGAGGGAGCCCTATAAGGGAAGCTAGTAACTCTATATATAAATAAGTTTAAGGGTATATATTAAGTAATTATTAACTTTATATTTAAGGTATAAGCTGATAGCTAGTCTAAAAGCTAAGAAGACGATGAATAGATAAATAGTTAAACAAAAAATATAATGTGGCTAAAGCCACGGTCTAAGTTAATAAATTATAAAAGTTAAAATTCGCCGCACAATCCAGTACCACTCAGTGATAGGGTTGGCAAAAGTTACTGCGTACTAATTACTGACTAAGACTTACTACATGACCAGCCATGCCGTATGATGTCTCTGTATATATATGGTGGAGTAGTGCTCAGTGGGTAAATTGAAATTTATTCTAGCCCCAGAGGAAGGCTTGTGTAGTGAGAACAACAGTTAGAAAGGGCCAATCGTTCATCATGTGTGAGTCGAGATACGGCAGTAATATGAAGCTTAATCTAAACGACCCATGGAAAGATTCGTGCCATTTGTAAGCTGGATAATGACTCCTGAGCGAAACAAGATCTCGGTGGTAGACGAAGTCCTTTAAGCCTTGCATTTGTCCCTTGACCTCATTGGATCCATAAGCTCAATCCAAAAAGACTTGCCCTTAGCTATTTTTACGACCCAGCTAAAGACCTGCCAACTAGATAACTGACCCACGGCACTGTCTAAGCTAATTAGCATTAGAACTGTGTCCTTCATCGGCTTACACCTCTGAGAGTATTCTAACAAGGAGTCATTTATTAGTCAGTCTTGGTTTTACACGCTAGGTAGGGATCCATTCGAAGATCACAAAGGCGCGAGTATAGCACCTATAGATGCCAGCCCTAGCTAGGTGCGATCCTATCGAGCTGTGGGTAACTAATTAGGTCTACTTATTATAACGCTTTATTATCTATAAGAATAGGCTTCCTATATCTATTATTTATAGTTAAATAATCAGTTAATTTACTTTATTTAATATACTTCATTTAAAATTAAAATAGTTATAAATTTAATTTTAATTTAATTTCCCTTTAAATATATACTTTAAAATATATTTTTTTATTATTTAAATACTTTTTAACTTAAAATAAATAAACTATATTATTTAATATATTTTTAAAAGCTTTAAATATATTCCTATTAAAATAATACTTTTTATAATAAAAGAGTTTTTAAAATAGTATATTTAGTTTTAATTTTACTTTATATTTAAAAGTATAAAAGATTATTAATTTAAATTTTTAAGTTTAATAATATATTATTAAGCCTTTTAGAATATATTATACTTAATATTCTCTTTATTAAAAGTATATTAATATTTAAATTAAATATTTTAATTAAATAGTTAAATAGTTTAAATTTAATATATTTATTAATAAATAAAAATTAAAGTTAATTAAGTTTAAAAATTAAATAAAAAGTTATTAAAAAAGCTTATAAAGTATTATAAGTAGTAATTTAAATTTTTATAGTTTTTATTATATTTAATAATTATTAATAATTAATTTAAAATTAAGTAAATTATATAATTAATTTAAATTTATTTATTTTATATAAATAAAAATATTAAACTTTAAGTAATTTATTAGATTTTATTTATTTATTAAAATATTTAAAGATATTTTAATATTTTTAAAAGTAAGTATATAAATAGTTATTATAAAAGAATATTAAGTAATATTAATTATAATAAGAGTAGAAGGATTAATTTTTAAATAATATATTTATTAAATTTAAATCTTTAAATAGGTTAAAATATATAAATTTATTAAAGTTAAAGGTATATTTATTATAAAGAATTTTTAATATTATAAATATTTAATTTATTTTAATTTAAGTTAGTTAAATATTTTAAACTTTAATAATATAAGATAGGTTTAGTTTAGAAATTTAAATTTTATTTAATTTAAATAAGTAATTTAAAGATAATATATATTAAAAATAAGTAAGTTTAAGGGATTTACTATATTTATAATATTTATTATTTTAAATAGTTAAAGTTTAAAAGTTTAAAAATTAATATAAAGAAGAAGTATATAAGGAATCTTATTAATATCTTTATAAATCTTTTAAGTAAAAAATATAAATAATTTTTAAGGATTATATTTTAATAAAATAAGTTATTAAGATTCCTTAAAGTAAATAATAAAATTTAAAAGAATAATTTAATACTTTTAAAATTAGAGAGATTTATAAGTATTTATAATTTAATAAATATATTAATTTACATATTAAGCTCTTTAATAAAAGGTAGTAAAAGGATAAGTATTTTAATTTTATTAATAAAGGGGAAAGGAGTAAATTAAGTTTATATATTTTAATAAATTAAGTACTTTCTTTTAATTAATTAAAGTATTTAAAGTATATTAAGTTTTTAATTATTTAAAGAATTTTTATTAATTATTTTAAAATATTTTATTTAATAATTATAAAGTATTTTATTTTATTAATAATTAAAGGTTTTAAATTTAATTTACTTTAAATAGTTAAATTTAATAAATTAATTAAAATAGGAATTATATTTTTATTAATATTAGAAAGAGGTATTTAAATATTTTAAATATAGTAAATATTATAAAAATCTTTAAAAGAGTATTTAATATTAATTAATATTATTATTAAAAACTTTATATAAATATTATTTTAAAAGCTTTTATTTAAATTTAAAATATAATATTATAAATTTAATTATATATTTAAGTTTAAAATTATTAAGAAAAATATAATTTTATATAATTAAAGTATTATTAAAACTTAATATTTATTAAATATAAGTTATTTTTATTTATTTAAGCTTTTAAAGAATTTTAATAAGTAAAATAGAATTATAGTTTTTAAATTTAAATATTAATATAATACTTTTTATATTATTATTATTTATAAAAGAAAATTTAAAGTACTTTTAATATATTAAAGTTAAATATTTTAGTTTAAATATTTTAAAAGTAATAATATAAGTAATATAAAGAGTTAAGATAAATAATATATTATATATTTAATATAAGTATTATATTTTAATATATATTAAGTAAATTATATTAAAATAAGCTTTTAAAATTAAGTAAAATATTTTTTAATATATTTAATATAATTTATTTAACTTTTATTTAGTTTTAAAAGTATATTATAGTTATTAGTAATTAAAAATAAGTTTTTAAATATATTCTATAATAAAATATTATTAAATAAAACTTAAAAGATATATTTCTTATATTTTAAAATTATATAAATATAATAAGGGTATAATATAAGTTTATTATTTATAAAATTTAATAAAATAATAATATTTTTATATTTATTTTATAAAATAACTATATATAAAGTATAATATAAAGAAATAGAATTTAAATTAAGTATATATTAATATATATTTATAAGTTTAATAATAATATAAAGTATATTAATTAAAAGATTATTATTTAATTTATTAAAATATATATTAAAATAAACCTTTTAAAGAAGTTATAGTTATATATAAATAAAGTAATAATCTATTTTATAATTAATCCTTTATAAAGTAATTATATAGTAATTTTATATAAAATATTAAAAGTTTAATTTATTTAATATTTTTATAAATATACTTTTAAAGAGTATATAAATTTATTATAAACTTTACTTAAATTAAAAATATATATATATATAATTATTAAATATATTTATTATAAAAGGATTATAAAGTTAAGTATTATAAATATAATTATAAAATTTAGTTATATATTTATATTAAATATTTTATAAAATATAAAATAATAAATATTTATTTAATATAAATCTTAAAGCTTAATTATATATTATATATATATAATATTATATTTAATAAGATTATATCTTATATTTTATAAACTAAAGTAGATTAATTAAGTATATAATAATACTTAGATATATTTAATTAAATTATTATAAAAGAAAAATAAAATAAAATTTATTTAAATAAATATTTAAAATAGAATATTACCTTTTAAATAGTATTTAACTAAATTTAAAGTCTTTAAGTATATTTATTATAAGTTTAAAAATAAGGAATTATTATTT